TTTTGCATCTGAATTGGGTGGCTGGCAACAGTATTGATGTGAGGTGTGTAGTCAAAGCTAATTGATTTATCTGTATTTAGGCCAAGAACGAGCCTGCTGGAAAGAAGCCTGCTGAAAAAAGCGATGCCAAAAAGCCTGGCAGTGACAGAAGACACTCCTCGGACTCGAAGACTGAGAAGTAAGTTGTAAATCAATGGTATTTATTTACAGACATCTCTGCATGCCAAATAACTAACGGTCTCATCATACGGTTTCATCCTTACAGATCTGAGAACAAGGATGAGAAGTCTGAAAACTCTGATGGAAAAGGTAACAAGATTAGCTTGCGTTCACATTTGTAACTACCTTCAGTAATATGCAAAGGTATCCAAATCTTAATGGTTCAATCTTGCTGTTACAGAACAAGGAGGAGAGAGAACTGTTGTGATGGACAAGTCAAAAGGAGAGCCAGTCATCAGCTTGAAGACAAAAAGCAAAGAACGAGTATGTTTTGTGGTTTTAACCGTTTTGATTCAGACTACTTTGTGGGGTTTTGAAATGTTTTAAATGACACACCAATCTTTGTTTCAGAGCACTAAGAGTCGTGACCGTAAATCCTCTAGCAAGGATAGGAAGGACATTTTGTCATTTGACCAAATTAAGGAGCAGAGAGAGAGAGAGCGTCAGAGGCAGAGGGAACGAGAGATTAGAGAAGTGGAGAGACGCAGGCACTCTGGGTAAATTTTATGCTTCTCTCCTTTGGCCCTCATTTAGTCTTGATCTAAAAATCAATCTAGCAATTTTCCAACTGGGGTTTATTTACGATGCAGCGAGCGAGACCGCGACAGCCGTTCGGAACGCGAGCGCATCCGCCTCTTTCGGGAGCGGGAGGAGAGGGAGAGACTGCTGAGGAAGCGCAACTTTCTGGAGGTGGAGAAACAGCGACTGGATGCCGACCGCAGGGAGCGCGAGTTCCTGGAGCGTGAACGTCTCCGAATAGAGTATGAGCGGCGGCGCGAGCAGGAACGCATTCATCGGGAGAGGGAGGAGCTGAGACGGCAACAGGATCAGCTACGCTTTGAACAGGACCGACGTCCCGTCAAGAGGCCTTACGACATGGATGGCAGGTATGCATAAAGTAGGGTTGCCGAACAGTTTTGCCAAACCAGTAAAAGACAAGGTTTCCACACCCACTTGCAACTCTACTTGATTCCTTGGGTAAGTTCATGAAGCAGGAGCACCTTGATTTGTCAGCTTTGACTGTGGTAGGGCTGCACCATATTGAACTCGTTAAATTCGATAATGCTAGGTGTTTAAAATAAATTTAAAATTAAAAACAGAATGTGAAACACATGTTGTTATATCATGTTCAATGTAAGCATCCCTTCAACTTTTATAAAGTAAACGGCAGTGTTTTACTGTAGCATTACATAAAAAGTAAGTGTAGTTGTAGCATTACATATAAAGTAAGTGTAGTTGTAGCATTACATATAAAGTAAGTGTAGTTGTAGCATTACATATAAAGTAAGTGTAATTTTAATGTCAGTTTTAACCAGGGGGTTTAGGGTTTCAGGTAGGCCTACGTTAGGTTTATTTAACAGGAATTGGATAAACAAATGTAAAAATAAAACACCCCTTTGTTTTCACTGTATGAATTAAATATACACTGATTCTTATTAAAGCCACAGAAGTTATTCAGTCAAGAGCAGGGAGTTATTTTCTCTGTCTGTTATTGTTAGATTAACAGTAAGCACACACACAGAAGCAGGTTTATTAGGCTGCTGTCACTTTAAGAGCTGCATGGAACCAATATATTGTTACACGCGCTCTTTCTTTCTCAACTGTTTAGTCCACTCAAGACACAGCTGACTGCATTGACGTGAGTACTCGCCAAGTATTGGGCATTTTGACAATTTTGTGTGTATTTGGTCATATAAGCCGCGGGAGAGAACTGAAATTATGCGTCACTTATTGCGCCTAATAACATTACGCATCTCACACGTATGGAACAGTCATGTGCCCAGTGTATTTTCTGCTGTCAACCAAAAAATTTGACTGTTCATAATCTGTTGAAGTATTAAAATTATTCTGTTATCGTAAACATTACGATATGCATATTGCAATATATACATTTGCAATATTTTGATATATCGTGCAGCCCTAGATAATGGGATGCAGCGTCTCTGTAATACAATTGTTAATTTTTTTTTCATTTTCCAAATATACAGAAAAGATGACTGGCAGATGAAGAGAATGACAATGGATGATCGCTATGGACGGTCGGATTTTGGACGCCAAGACCGCTACCAAGACTTTGACCACCGAGACCGCAGCCGCTATCAGGATGATGTGATAGACAGGTAATGCCAGCTCTGTCTAACAGCAGCCAACTGTCTAGATATTTGTCTATAGATTTTGCTACTATATCGTAATGATTTACATCCCCCTTACAAACAGGAGAGACAACCGAGGTGGTTTGTCAGGAGACAACCAGGTAAGAAAATCCCTTCACAGACCTTCGTTAGATTTGATCCTCGGGTATTGGAAAACATCTAATCCTCCTTTCTCAATTTACAGCACTTTTCAGATCGGGAAAGACATGGCAGGGACAATCGTGACAACTGGGGTGGCGGCTACGACAAGCGTGGGATGAATCCCATGAGGCCGGTGCCAGGCAGGTAGGTCTTTTTGTCTCATCTAGTCAGATGTGCCGCTTCATTAAATGGTTGCAAATTCTCTTCACTCAGTTGTTTTGCTCTGCTTCTTGTTTGAAGTCGTGACAACAGGGACTGGGAGCCTGGACGTAAAATGGACGCGGACAGAAACTGGCAAGGTATGTCCACTATTTTTTTCTATTATGTTCAAAAGTAGTTGCATGTTGTCTTCTCTTCTAACTTACTACGTTTCTTTTTAGGAGCAGACCGAGGTGTTCCGGGACAGGGTCACATGGCACGAGGTGGAATGGCAAGGTATCAAGGTTTAGGCTTTTGTTTGTCATGGCTAGACATAACTGTGTAAATAGAGTATCATGGGAAATGTCTTTTGTTGCACATGAAACTAATATTTGTCTACTCTACTCCATAGCCGAGGTGGATACATACAGACAGGGACGTCCCAGTCACTCTCTGGAGCCTTAAATCGACCGAATCAAATGATTCAGGGTAGTGGTATACAGGGTGGCGGAGCCTTTGGTCGACGCTATTAACTTAAGTATCTGTTATGTGAAAAGAAACTTTGCAGCTTGTACATTGCCAATCATGCTTTGTTATTGTATTTTTAAGTCCTCTTTTATTTTGATGGTGTAAAGACAAACAGATAATTGGTTACATTGTGTAAAGTTTGAGATTTAGATTTTTTTTTTTTTTTTTGTCCTCCCCTCCATTCCACATCTTTAGATTTTAGGCTTTTCTGTTTTTCACTTGTTGAATGCTCAGGAACGTTTTGCTAAAATGGAACCTGTCTTTAAACCATGAAATTGTTGTTCAATTGTTTTTGATGTTTCAATAAAAGTGTGGAGTTTTCTTTACATAAAGGTGGTACTCTCGTCTTCCTATGATGTACACGCTAGCATTCTGTTGCCACTAGGTGGCGCTCTTAGTCTAAGCAAAATTGGAGGATTTAAAGAATGCTTATGAGAATGCAAGTAGATTTTTACATTTTGCGAAGAAACTGTTAGTGTTTCATGTCATCCAATCTGAACAGGTTCATTTATTACTTGGTTAATGTTATAGTGATGGTTCCCTTAGCAAACACAGCTAATAATATGTGGCATCTCTATAGTCTAGGTTACAGCTTGAGATGTTATATTGGCATATTACAACTCTAAATTAAGCAAACGGATGGCATTACCATCATGACCACCAGCCAATTGCTCAATACATCTTGATTATTCAGAGCTTGACTTCCATGTCGTAGGAGGACTGGCTTTTAATCTAATAAACCATCAAAAATAAATGCACTTGTTACATGCTTTTAAATGTCAGAAGATCAAACAGTCACATTGTGCAAGTCTATTCACTGGAGTATTAGATCACTTATATATCTAATAATAACCCTCAATTTCCAATGTCTCACTTAACCTTATGGCCAAGGGAAAACCAGTTCCTTAATATTTTATTTTGGTGTATTTTCTGAACCCATGTTGAAGTTCCTTATAGTTGTTCTCAGATTTTTATTTATAAGTTAGGGGGTGACGTTGTCCCAAATTTGAGACTCTGAATTCACTCCTGAATCTGTTTTCAGTTAAATCATTATGACAACAAACTGACTCCACAGGGGATATTCTGCTTTGCTAGCTTGAAATTAGCCATGGTAATGTGGGATGTTGTTTAATACTTTGAAACAAACCACTGCAGTGCAACTTTTGGTTGGCGGTGTGAATTCATAATTGTAATTGTCATTACATATGATTAACTCTTGTAGTAGAGTAATTAGCTGTCAATAAAGATAAATGACACAGTTCAAAGGAACTCAGGAGAACCTTTGGTAACAGACGACATCCTGGGTGGTGAAGTTGGTGTATCAGTTCCACAATGTCCTAAAGTAACCTATGCCTAAAGTGATGCCTTCTGGGGAGGCATCTTGAATGATGTCACTAACTTAGATCAGGTCGTGCATTGGTGGCCAATCACATCCAGGCTGAAGGTTTTGTAGGTGGAGTCAGACAGATTTTCATTCCTAGAAATGCCTGGAGGTCATAAAACTCTCATTAAATATCATACTGCTGAAATGTGCCAAGAAATTCTTGATAAATGTATGTTGTCTACAAGACCAATATCCTAGAACTGCTGGTTGTCCTCATTCCTAATGATATAGTCCATTCATTGCTTCAGGTCTGAGCGATGTTTTGCTGTTTGAACTGGCACATGTTCTCTTCTGCAATGTTGACATGGACCAAGCCATTTGGAACAAAACCTGAGCAGAGCTGGAATTTCAATTACTGTACCACACACCCATGAGAATTTATGTTCTCCCCCACTGTCAACTATACTATGAGATTTCTGGAAGTTTCCCAAAAGAAAAAGAAAAATCCTTTTTAAAGCCTTGGAAGAACATGGATGTGGGGGACCCAACATGTCATTGTTTCCCTAAGCAAACCTCATTTAAAATTCCTGTTCTACTTTAGAAACTGAATTTAATTTTGTGGTCCTCCTTCAAAACAGATCAACAAGTCTGTATATGCCTAGTTAGTGTAGTTCAGGCATGTGTAGCCAGAAACATTCCTCTCGGAGTAGGTTTCAAGCACCTAGTGCAGCTAAGAAGACATGGTGGCCAAACTTTTGAGTGCTTTCAAGATTTATCTGCTGATTTATATTTTATCTAGAGGACATTTTACAGGTAAGAGATCTCTCTATGCTTTGTCTTGCTGCAGGTGGTGGGCTTATCTGAGGTCAATATAAGGACATTTGTCTTTTTTTGGCCTCTTTCATTGTAGTTTGCCTCAACTTGCCTGCATCAAAATAAGATTCGGATATAAGAACACTTTTAGTCATAGTTAGAGCTCTTGTTAAGGTATGTTACACCATTGTTGTTCATACTTGGGGTTAGTTATTTGGACAAACCCCAAAGTCTTACACTTTGGCAAGTAACTTGACCTGCACCGTTTGTGCTACGGCTTGTGGTGGTGAGGTATGCCATTACTTTTTTTTTTTTTTTTTAAGAAAAACGATTTTCATATGATAGACGATAAAATGGTCAAAATAAAAGATTTGTGTCCAAAGATTATTATCAAGACAGGTAGGTTATTTTAACTTGAGCCACTCAAAACACTGTAGCATTAGGTGAGCATTAGCTGTTCAAACAGAATGCGTTCCTGCGTTTAAATGTGACAAAAGTGCACCACAGAACAAGGGTATCTAATGCATTTTATGTAATGTGCTCAGAATTTTTTTTATAAATAGCAGAAATGGCGGACAACTGACAGTTGCAAAAAAAAAAAAAAAAAAAAAACATGCTTGAAAGCTGTTTTGCTGGATTCCCAGGCTGCTCCAGGTGTTTAGCTGGGGGCGAGCATGGTCTCCCAACTTGACCAGCTGAAAAGTTTCCAAAACCAGTCAACAGACCAGGAAATCCACTTTAGGCTAGGGCTGCATCTGAAATTGCATACTTCCCTTGTATATAGTATAGCGAATAAAAGTAGGCCTATATGAAAAAATAATTATGTCAGAATTCGCAGTCCTCTTAAAAGAGTAGGCAAAAAGTACCCTGATGACCTACCCGGTACTTTCTACAGCGAGATTCTGAAGTGTGCGATGGACACTTTACTGTCCCATGAGGCAACTGGAGAAGAGCTTGTGTAGTATTATTTCAGGATTTTTTTAATTGTTTCTTTTATAAGCCTATTCATTTTTAGCTACTTATGAGTCTAGTTACTTATTTGTAATGGCTATGTGAATACAGTATGACTAAATATAGAATTATGTGCATTTATGTATATTTATGTTTTTGTTTTGTTGTTGTTTTTATTAAGTTGTTGTTTCTTGAGTTTGTAAATGGAAAATGTTCAATTAAAAAAACGTTGAATTTTTGCAATGGCGTCTCTAGTGCGCAAGAAAATGCGGGAGACGGTGAAAAAGCAGCGAGAGACGCCGTGTCACGTGTAAATAAGATGACGCCGTGTCATCTTATTTACATTGAAAAACAATTGAGAAAATACCGCGGCTGGAACGCAACAACTCTAATATTTTGTAATTGACTCAATATAAAACAGCTACGTTGGGGTTTAGTTGTCTGTGGATTTGTGGTGATAAATAAATTGGACTCGAATTTATCACTATTTTGTTCCAAATATTTCAGAAGCTTTACAAGACATTAGCAAGTACATAAAACACTATGAAGGCCTGTCTTATGACCGAGAGCTCTTAAAACAGCAACACCAGCGCATCAGACGCGAGACACATTTGAACAATCAGGAGCTTCATCTAGACTTCAACGCCTTTCAAAGGTAGCTACAATGTCCACACATCTTCATTATCCCACCATACTTTATTATCCACTTACAAACTTTTATAAAGCACTGATTTCTTGAAGGGCATTCCACCTGCGTCTCAAGCCAGATGTAAATGGCTTCACAGAAGATTTTAAGGTCCAGTCAGAAGATGAAACTCAGATGGTGGATCTCTCTCACATATATTCAGGAGTACTAGAAGGTAGGACGTCTTGTTTTGGCAGCCACACAGTTTGTTATCTATAATTAATGTTAATACACTGTAAAAAGTGATCAGTTGACTTAACTTAAAAAAAGTGCGGAAACCCATTGCCTGAAACTGATTAAGTAATAAACTTAATGCGTAATTGAAAAAAATAAGTTGTGTTAACTTGACAATCCACATAACTTAACATACATATTTCAATTACGCATGAAGTTTATTCATAATTTTAAAGTAACGGGTTTCCTCACTTAAAAGTCAACTGATCACTTTTTACAGTGTAAGATACAAATGTTTTCTCTCTCATAGATGACAGTGGATCCTCATGTCAAGGTTCTGTTGTTGAGGGTCAGTTTGAAGGCTCTATCACAACAGCCAATGGGACGTTCTACGTGGAGCCCACTGACAGATACGGCACCTCCGACTCTGACCACCATTCCATTATTTATCATGAGGATGATGTGGGTAAGTGATTATAAAACGTATTTCTTACGTTTTAGCTGTGATTTAGTCCCAACAAAACTTTCTCATGTCCTTTCTTGTGTGTTCACCGTTGTATTGATCATTATTTTTCGTCTTTTTCCGATAGACTAACAAGCCATAAAACAAGATTAATGTACTGGTTAAGTTAGAGCTGGTTGATATAATAAAACTTTTCCAACTCGATCTCATGAGGTGGCGATTTCGTATGAATTTATATGATGCGATTTGTGTGGAAACCTGCAGTTTTTAGGGGAAAAGGGAAGCATGAAGGTCCACCCCTAAACCTAATCATCAATGGGGCATAAACAGATTTATATGAATTCGTATGAATTAGCCACCAATTCAAAACTTAAGTCAATTAAGTCAAAACTTAAAATAGTTACAATTTATTGCATCTTGATTTAAGTTTGTTTTTTAACCCTTTTGGAGAATTTATATTTTCTTTTTTATTTTAATGATAAACCTCACTACAGTTTGGTTATTATGCTATATATATATATATATATATATATATATACTATTGAGCTTAATTCAATGCTATTTTACTTTTTAATGATAGTAATTAAAAATATTTGGTGGTAAAAACATAGCTACTTTTGGAGATAAACTATCATATTCATCTATAAAGTTAGTTTTAAAAGTGAGACTTGTGCTTTCTCTTTGTCCAAACATGAATTCAATGAACTGCGTGGGGTGTTTTACTGCAGTTCAATGCCCTGATAATATGCTAAGTTTTGCAGGCAGAGGAGCTGGACGTGTTGCACATTTTAATGATTGTTCAAAAATTATAAATATAAATCTCACAAGTGAGTATGCTTATACCTGAAGCTACCATGATAAATGTAACAGAGAAGGTTGATAATAACCTTAATGCATTTGGTTTAGGTGCATTTGCTTTATTGTTTAGCCAAGTCATTTTTAAATCCTAGTAGTCTTCTTTCTCTGCCAACTGACACGGAAATTATTGTTTTAAGTAGCAAGAGCAGAACCAGTTTACAAGGATTAAAGATATCTGTCATTTACTGTAAGTAATAGACTTACATTTACTCAATGTGTCAGTCTGAGACCACATTCAACTTTTTTTTTTTTTAGGAAACATTTGTACAAAAGTTCAGGTTTGCTTCAGACAGGGGCGGACTGGCCATCTGTGTGATCTGGAGAATCACAGAACGGCCGGTACTCCAGGACGGCCGGCGGGCCAGCCCTAGGGTTGCCACCTATGTCTGATAAAAAACCGGGACATATTACCCGCCCAACTGGGGGGGGGGGGGGGGGGGGGGGGGGGGGGGGGGGAGGGGTGGGGGGGGGTGGGAGAGAGGGGTGTTTGAAGACCAAAAATGAACGGTTGAACACCAAAATTTAAATTTTAACTGTAGGCCCGCCTATACACCAAATGCTGCGCAAAAATATATCCTATATTCGCGTATTTTCAGATTTTTGTTCATGATTTTTTTTTTGCCCCTTTAATAAGCATTTAAAATATTCACAAATTATATGGATAAAATGGTTTTCTAAGGCCAAACACTATATTTCTAAGGCTATAGATGATTTATAGGCTATTATAAATGTTTCTGAAAAAGTAACGAGGCATTTTAATTGTTTATTAATAAACTAGTATTTTCTAAATCGGCTGCAACATATCTCCATCTCCGCTGTAAAGCAGATGCGCCTTTAGAGAAGAAATTCATATGGATTACATAATCAGACTGTATTTTCTTTTGATTCGAATTTGTTCGTTTAAAAGTGGACATTTCAAGCTTTAGCCTATGGGCTTGTTTATTTTGAGACGCGATCCAGTTCACGGAGACCATAAAAGAGCGCGACTGATTGTTTTATTTTATTTTACAAAAGCACAACGTTTTCTTGTTATTGTGAGTTTACACAAATAAAAGTAGTTGCGAATGATGTATTGTTGCGAATGATGTTTATTTTCTATGACCAGAAATGATAGAGTAGTAGGCCTATTTTAAGTTGTTTCCACTGTTGATAGAAAAACGGAAGTGCTCGCGCCCGCGCCTCGTGCAGCAAGCGCGCTCCACACTCAGATTACATGCGCTTCTTATGCGCTTCTTGAGGCAGACTCGACTCACACTAGCACACACACGCAAGGTCTCTCGCTCTCTGCCGTTGCGCGCGCTACACAGTTTGAACATACATATTCACGTAGCCTTTCGAAAACCGGGACATTCAGTGTCCCGGGAGAGTGCGTAAATTTCCCGGGACAGGTTATTAAAAAGAAGGACAATCCCGGTAAAACCGGGACAGGTGGCAACCCTAGCCAGCCCACCGGCCCACCGGCCCACCACCCCACCACCCGCCACACACGCAGTCACAGACATCCCAAGTCTCCCGGAAGTTCCGGGAGTCTCCCGCATATTGATAGCGGCTCACTGATGCCCGCAAATTAGTTAAAATCTCTTGGAATCTAGAGCGAATAAGAGCGCACATGCGGTGCGCGCACGGCAGAGAGCTAGAGACCTTGCGTGTGTGTGCTAGTGTGCGCGTGTGCCTCACGAAGCGCATGTAAGGACCCAACCAATCAAGTGCGGGCGGGCTTTTATCTCTACTACTCACGAACCGAATTAATCAGAAATTACTTTGCAAGTTACTTGCTAGGGATGATGTTAGGAAGTGATATTCAGCTTGCTACATTTTTAATGATTACAGTAGTTAAAACAGCTAAACTTCAACATTTTAGCTGTAAAATGCCACATGCAGTAGCTAATATTAAGAAATATGTTGTGCTTTTACTTTTAAAAATGTTGGTAACGTTACAGTTAATGCTTACAAACTTTGAAGATTTTGAATACAGAAGTTACATTTGTAATGGTGTAATTTCATTTAGATGTGGTATTATTGTTTGTGCAGTAGCTAAGATTAATTACTGCATAAATTAATTAAGATTATTAAGTAATAAATTCATGTTAAGACAGCATGGAATAGATTGTATAATTTGCTGTTAGCTAGGTATAGTATTATGAGCCACAATTAAAGTCACTCATGCCAGGCGGCAGGCGTTATTGTTGTTGTTGTCGAGTTTCCGCGCGCCGATTGCTTTGGGCCGGGCCTAGTCAAAGTCCAGGGCCGTTTTTTAGTCCCAGTCCGTCCCTGGCTTCAGATGAAACTCAAGATGCTCAGTATGAATTTATACAGGAAAGCAAAATAGGTGCATTTTCATTAGTGGTCCCAGACTTTTCTACCTTGGAGTGTTTTTGATGTAATTTCTGGGATTTCCATTTGGGTTTGTGTACTTCCTTCGCTGGGGTGGTAAAAGAAAGAAAGAAAGAAAGAAAAGGGGTGGGGCATGTATTCCTGTCTTTGTATAGCATGGAGGTAAACATTGGCAGAGAGACAAGTGTAGGTATAGTCTGTGTATATGGTTGGTCATGTGATGTCGTGGTTGAAGTCACACCATGCCCATGTGGTTTCAAGGTTACAAGGTTTCAAGGTTTCCCATGGGTCCAGGGGCAGGTTATTCATATATTCAAAGCTTTGGATATGTTTTTAAAGGTGCACCATGTAACTATAGTATGCCAGGAATGTCATAATATGTAAGAAATATGAACAGAATTAGCATAAGATGAATCCCTGTTGCAGTAAATAATGTTTGTAATATTAACATAAAAAAAAAAAAAATGATGCTACAGTAAAAAAGCTGTTTATTAACTGTAATTTACCATGGTGAAATACTTTATTTGGATTTCTATAAATAATTTTTACTATAAAATACTGTTTTACAAAACAGCAATAGTATTAATTACATCAATTTTGTTTCTGAATACTCAAACCATGACAAAAAACGGTAACACTTTACTTGAAGGGGTGTGCATAAGACTGACATGACACCTTCATAACCATGACATGACACATGTTATGAATATAAAGGAAGTTTTATGCATGTTTAGGACAACTGTCATTAAGTGTCTTTCACTCAATTATGACATTTTTAATGCAAATATGACATTGTTTGAGATGTCTTGGTAATGACACCTTGACATAAACCAATACATCATAACCTGTCAGTGTCTTTGTCATGACAACTTGACATTACTAAGACAACACAACCTGTCATAAACATGACATAGCAGATTAATTATCAAACTTAAGAAACCACTTAGCTTTATTGGTTAACATTACATTAAACTGTCTGGTGGTTGGTTTTTGACATTGGCTGTCATTGAAGCCATTATAACTTTTTAATGACAATTTCAATGTGTACCACTGTAGTTGAGGTCACAAAAAATATTCATGACACAGTTATAATGGCCTGATGACAGCCAATGTCAAAACCAACCACATGACAGTTCAACTTAATTTAATGTCAAGTTGTCATGACAAAGAGACTGACAGGATATGATGTTTTGGTTTATGTCAAGTTGTCATAACAAAGACATCTCAAACAATGTCATATTTGCATTAAAAATGTCATAATTGAGCGAATGACACTTAATGACACTTATCATAAACATGCATAAAAGCTCCTTCATATTCATGACATGTGTCATGTCATGGTTATGAAGGTGTCATGTCAGTCTTATGCACACCCCTTCAAGTAAAGTGTTACCCAAAAAACTAACCAACACATTTTTCAGGCTGGACCAGCCAATGCGCATGTGCAGTCATAAGCGTGTCTCAGAAAACGTTTCAATATATGAACCAGAGCTTCTAAAGGCAGTTGCAGTGACGCAATGACTTTACCAATTGAGGATTGGCTCCTTTATTTAGAAAGTGGGACTTAGTCAGCCATATTATGCCACTTTCTCCCATTCATAGTAATATCTGTCTAGTAAATGTCTTTGATGAAATATAATTGATGTGAAAATCGAACAAAACAAAACTAACAGTAAAATACCAGTAAAAGTAATGTGCTAGAAATTTTTTAAATCAATTATTTTTGTTTATTATTTATTATATTACAAATATGCCAATTTTCCATTGCAAAAAGTAAAAATGTGACCTTTTTTTTTATACAGCATTTTTTTTAAACGGTGTACTAATTTGCACTGTAATTTGCAGTAATTTAAAGTGACGGATTTCCTGTTTGAGTTACTTGATGACTGAAGCTGATTGTACAGATCTGTTATTTATATACCGATTCATCTCATTTTTGGACAATGGCGTGGTTTGTCTGCCATCTGGAAGTTAAAAATAACAGGAAGAGGAGAAGCTTTGATTAGGTTTCACTGCAGCTGGCTGAATAAAGGAAACAACCAATCAGAAGCAGTGCATGTGAAACATAGATATAAACACAGAATTAGGATGGTTTCCCAGTTGAATTTCATTATCAATTTATTGTCAAATCTTAAGTCAAGTCAAACTTGTTTGTATAGCGCTTTTCACAAAACACATAGCAGCTTTACGGAAAATAAAACATCTTTAAAATCGTAATTTTAGCAACACCAATGTCTTGGGTTTGATTCCCAGGGAACTTGCATACTAATGAATTGAAATGACGTAAAAAGAAGAAGAAAAAAATCGAATCTCCAGATTAGATTCTGCAAGTGTTCTTGGATAAACATTCATTTTAATTTCCGCTCCCCTCTGGTGTGGATTGTTTCTCACTAAATTCAGGCATTTTTTCCTCAAACAACTTCTGAAACCTTTCTGCCCTGATCTCCACATGCACAACTTGAAAGAGAGGCACGCAGGATGAAGCCAAAGTCTGGAAGTAATTCCATCAATGGGTCAATGTCCGACATTTGCCCTTCCTTCTCACATGCTCCATTTCTCTCTACTCAAACTCACCGATCCTGGAACGACTCTACTAGCCTTATTGTTTATAGAAACTATGATCATGTTCCAAAGCGTGATCTGAGACCAGCGGTGGGACCTCGTTGTCCACCTCATTTACATTGAAGAATTCTTATTGGGTGATTCTTGCACACCAGGATGGTGTGATCCAATCATGTTGCTTCAATAGTTAAAGTCAAGGAACATCCTGACATTTACTCCCAGCTAAACTCCCAGTCATTTTACAATGTAGGTAAAACTTAACCAGGCTGTTGTGGATGTCAACCACCTGACTTTGCATGAGCTTTTTTTTTGCCCTCAACTTTAATGTTTAATCTGATTTGTGTTGTTCTAGGGAATGTCCTGAATGTGAATTCATAATGTAAAACCTTGTTTTTGAAAGTCAGTTACCTTGAGTTTTAAGGTCATACCACTATTGTTATGTCTGGTTGGGGTCACGATGCACTGCTATCACAAACAATCAGTGCAGCATTAGACCAAACATTGCCTTGCTAATCTTTGTAGTTAATTGAAGTTTCCATGTGAATGTTTTTAAGTTATTCTTTAAGAAGAATAATATAACAGCATTATCAAGGTGTTTCTTTTTTTGAAAGACTTTAGGAGCACTGTGGCTTTTGTAGGAGTCTTTGAAGGTGAAATGTTTTTAATTCTGTTCATTATAAGCATGCGCTGCAGTTATGTCGTCTGCTAGAGCTCAAAGCAAGTGGATTCTGATTGGCTGTCAATGTTTTAGCTGAATTGAACAATTGAATTACTGTAGGCTAGATTTGGGGCTGAGTAATTTTGAGTTGGCCCAATAATAAACCTATAAATCACCCTCAGCAATGCGTTAAACCACCAAAACCCCTTGGCAACCACCCATAACACTTTTGCTTGGTCCAGCCAGCCCCACTCATGTTTTCTCCAGGAAATGTACAAATCTTGTTCTTCCTTTTAAATTTAGACTGTGATAAAACATATAAATAACATAAAAGGTTAGACTTTTTATTAAAACTTTTTCCTTCATTAGTCGTAAGTTGGTGTCAGGTTTACCAAAGTTTAGTACAGTTAGTAATTATGTCACAATAAGAGTTTTCGACAGGGGTCAGAAAAGATACAATCGCTCAAGTCTCCTTGAGCAAGTACCTCGGTTTTGCAATGCATTCATAATTTCAAGGCTGTACAAGCGGGTCCAAGATTTTTGAAATCTTTATCAGATTGTCTGTACATCATCTAGTCCTGCATTTCGCTGGACACCAATAAGAAGTATGTTGGGCATCATTAATGAATTTTTAAAATGTATGATATTTGTATAAAAAAAGCTTATTTTGTTTTTTATCTGAGAAGAACCTGATTTAAAGAAAATTAGGATGGTGCCAGAAACTACTAAAACGTCACTTAAAACTTTACTAAAACTAATCTGAATGCCTTCCTTTTTCTTATCAAATTAACTTTCTGCATTACCAGTGTTATTTTAGTGTTATTTCTATACTATTATAGTACTTAATATCTTGAATCTGCTTTTATTATTATATTTTCAGTTTTCTATTTAACTTTAATTTAACTTTCAGTAATTTTTGATGTGCTTTTGTCATTTTTTTAAACATATATTTATATGTAGCTTTAATTTATTTTATTTCAGCTTTATTTTTAGTAATTTTAGTTAGTATGTCAACTTATTTCAATTAGCTGCCAAAGAAACATTTATAATTTTCATTTAGGTTTTTTAAGTTTAAGTTTTTCATCTATATGTTTTATCTTATTTTAGCTTTATTTCAATTAAGGAAAACGATTTTTAATAGTTTTAGTTTTAGTAATAAAAAAAATTAATTACAGCATTTTTATCCCTTGTTCCCCATCCCCTTAGTAGTCGACTCCCATATCGTAACCCTTTAGTAACCCTTTAATGTGTTTTTTTTTTCACAGACAGCACTCCCTTGAGAGGCGATCATGTTGGCTTCTGTGGTGCAGAGCGGCTGCAGCATCTCATCCAAAACCACCAAGAGGTCAGACATGACCTCACCTCATTTTCAGTCCAGCCCCGTAAAGTGTCCTCACATTCCCAAATAATTTAAGTCCCTGTAAAGTCAAAATTAAGTACAGTGTGTTCTGAGTTTGTCACACCACAGAAAAATGTGTTATTAGCCACCCAGCCAAATTTAAATGATAAAAAAGCCGCCAAGTAAATAAAATAAGCTATCAAAATCTTGAAAAAATACTGCTCTCAAACGCTGGGGGCGTGTCTGCTGGCTGCGCTGAAACCACGCCCACTCGCGGGAAAGCTTCCAACGGTGATATTAGGTGATACTGTTTTCGGGACGGGAGGATGAAGGCCGGTGAGTTTGAATTCTTCACAAAATTAATCCACCTCTTCTTAAAGGACAAGTTTGGTATTTTACACTTAAAGCCCTGTTTTAAGATCGCTTCTGATGAAATAGAACGGTTAAGATTAAAATTTGGACACATGCTGCTGGCCCGAGAATTTTTGTTCTCTTACGAGAGGTTCTCTCGTATTGCGTAAGTTGCTTACGCTACGGGTAAAGTTATCTTTTCTCGAGATCTGAAGCCAATATTTATCCTTAACTTTGTATTTATTGTCAACGCAGTGCAGCAGACAGCAGACCATAGCAGACTGAGTAAGTGTGCTCATTGGCTGTCCTGCGGAAAATGCAGCAGCCTATCGGTGAGCCCAGCGTGACGTCGCGCCCTCTACGCCTTACAGCCCGCCAAGTGGGAGTGGCCAACGTATATAAAAGAGGGGCTCAACAGGCTGAACTCTGATTTTCATCTCTTCAGCGAAGCTCTCCACATTGCGGGATCTTGAGAAGCCGCCGCCGTCGAATCAAGCGACCAGCAAGCTCAGGAAGTAAGAAGCCGGCCGTCTTCGCCACCTTTAGCGACCCGTGCCAGTATTCTTTTAAGCCTTCTCTCTGTGTGTGTTCGCCGCCGCGACAGATCGCGGTCAGGCAGCCGTCATAGGCCGCCTCCCCCCCCCGCGGGGACCCCGGGCTAAGATCGTGCTAAAGCCCGAGCCCGCGAAGTCCTCCTAGCAGCTCCAGGGAGGAAAAGACGGCTACGCCCCGCCGCGGCCGGGCCGCCGTCAAAACTCTCCGCTCTGTCAGTCGCCGAAGCCTCGGCAACTGCAGATGTGTATTTCGCAGCCAACAAGCAGAGAAATCTCAAAGAGAGCATAATGTCTGGTTATACGGCTCACGCCGCATGTGTTTTAAGTGTAGAAAATGTGCCCACATCCCAGTGCTCACCCCTACACACAAGCACTATATCACTCGTGTCCATCACAAAGCCCACTCTCATAAAGCTGGCGAAAGCCGCTCGGGTGTTAGATGTAGAGCATGTGTCCACGTCCTCGTGCCCACACCTACCCACTGCCCGCCATGTTTCACAGTCGCGCCCCGCCGGTCGCCGTGCAAATGTAAGTCTGGTGCCCCCCCCTGCTCTACATGCAAAAGCATGGGAAGCTATCCCGGGCGCCTCAGAATGGGTGTTGAACACAGTAAAGAACGGCTATGCATTGCAGTTCGCTCGCCGTCCCCCACGCTTTCGAACGCGGACGAGACGAGAGTGAATGGGTAAGTAGCACACCTACTTCGTGCAGAAATAGCGAAACTTCTGTGCAAGGGCTACATAGAGCCAGTACCCCCTTCTTTGAGCGAGTCAGGCTTTTACAGCCATTATTTTCTCGTACCAAAGAATCACGGAGCCCTCAGGCCAATTCTAGATCTGAGATATTTGAACAAAGCTCTTATGAGAAGACCGTTCAAAATGCTCACGACCAGACAGATCCTTGCGGAGATTCGCCCCGGGGACTGGTTCATTTCCCTCGATCTGAAAAGCGCATACTTTCAGATCAAGATAATACCCCGTCACAGGCCATTCTTGAGATTCGCCTTCGACGGACAGTTATATCAGTACACCGTCCTGCCGTTCGGCCTGTCTTAAGCACCCCATACGTTCACGAAGTGCATGGATACGGCTCTCGCTCCCCTGAGGGGTCAGGGTATGCGAATTTTGAACTATTTGGACGACTGGTTGATTCTAGCACAATTAGAGGAGGAACTCGTTTCTCACAGAGCGGTACTTCTCAGCCACCTGGAAAGCCTGGGTCTCACGGTCAACTGGACCAAGAGCTCGCTACTGCCCAGCCAGTAAGCCTCTTTTCTGGGCATAGAACTTGACTCTGTGGCAATGACGGCCCGGCTGTCGACACAGCGCGCGCGCCGTGTCCGGCTCCTTGCCGCGTCTTTCCAGAAAGACAGCGTCGCATCTCTAAAGACATTTCAGAGGATGCTGGGTTTTATGGCCTCAGCTGCAGCGGTACTCCAGCTGGGTCTACTGCGCATGCGACCGCTACAGCGCTGGCTGATCGCTCGAGTGCCTCACCGAGCCTGGGCGGCCGGCTGCATTCAAATCAGGATCACTCAGGGCTGCGTTTCAGGACTGAAGCCCTGGCTAGCGGCCGACTGGTACCAGCGGGGAGTGACAATGGGAGCTGTCTCACATCGACAGGTTATCGCGACGGACGCCTCCAACTTAGGTTGGGGCGCTCTGTTCAATGGCAGACCAGTCTTCGGTCTGTGGTCAGACTGGGAGAAATGCCTTCATATAAACTGTCTGGAGATGATAGCAGTCGAGAACGTGCTGAAGCGCTTCCTCCCGCACTTGAGGGGCCACCATGTTCTAGACCGCTCGGACAACATGTCTGTGGTGTCCTACATAAATCACCAGGGCGGTCAGACCCAGAAATCTCTGCAGTCTGACGGAACGCCTTCTCGTGTGGGCCCATCGCTCGCTGCGCTCGCTGAGAGCCTCTCACGTGCCGGGCCACGAGAAAATCGGCCCGGACAGACTGTCCAGGGACAACATTCCCCCGGGGGAATAGTCCTTACATCCCCAAACGGTCCAGTCGCTATGGCGCCTTTTCGGCAGAGCGGAGGTCGACCTATTCGTGTCGAAAGACAACGCTCATTGCCCAAGGTTCTTTTCAAAGAACGAGGACGCGCTGGCCCAAACCTGGCCCAGTTGCCCGCTGTATGCTTTTCCCCCGATCTCACTATTACCACAGGTAATCACGAGGATCAGGGAAATGGGCCACTCAGTCCTTCTCGTAGCCCCACGATGGGAAAACCAGGCCTGGTTCCCAGAGCTGGTGAGGCTGTCGCACATAGTCCCGTGGCCAAACCCGATGAGGAGAGATCTCCTCTCTCAGGCCGGTGGATCGGTGTGGCATCCCCATCCAGAGCGCTGGTCTCTCTGCATGCGTGGATAATCAACGGATGCCAGATGCATTGCCAGAAGGGGTCATGAACACGATCTTGCAGTCTAGAGCTCCTTCTACGAGACAGCTCTATGCATCTAAATGGTCAGTGTTCTCCGAATGGTGCACTGGTAAAGGCCTGGTCCCACGCATTGGTGAGGTCCCATGGGTGCTTTCCTTCCTCCAAAAGCTGTTGGACAAGGGCAGGTCCCCTTCCACGCTCAAAGTATACGTTGCAGCTATTGTATACTCAAAGTATACGTTGCTCCCCCTCTACATTCGTGAGGTTCTACAACCTGGAAGTTCCCGCCTTGCAGGCGCGACTTTTGTCCGTCTTAAAGGATGTGTATGTTCTGCCCAGCTGTCACGTGCACACTACTCTCATCTCTTTGAGGCGAGCCTCGCCGTATGTAGTCGGCCGAGTTCATCCACGTTTCCCTGTATTTCCCTGTATCGCCGTATGTAGTCGGCCGATTTCGTCCACGTTTCCCTACAATACAGGTTTTATTGTAGTGTTTGTCCCAAGTCAAGTCAATGGAGTTGGACAAAAACTACGATAAAACCTGTTGGAAAGCATCTTTTGCAGCGATTTTTGTGTGAGCATGTCAGTGAACACCCCTGACCACTCGGTGAGTTTCACGTCTTTTTAAACCAAAGTTAAATGCGTTTAAGGAAGGATTGTTCCAGTGCACCTATGCAACCATTGTGGAGGTGGGGGGGTGCAACCACAGAAACCGAATATTCTCGGGACAGCAGCATGTGTCCAAATTTTAATCTTAACCGTTCTATTTTATCAGAAACGATCTTAAAACAGGGCTTTAAGTGTAAAATACCGAACTTGTCCTTTAATATGGTCGTTTTTCGGAAATGTAAATAAGGACACCGAAATGTAAATAAGGACACATTTATAATGTGTTTAGAATTTTTTTTTTTACAATTGCCTTTACAGGGACTTTAAGAGGTCCACTAAGTCTGGAAATAATTCAGAAATCAGATGTTCAGAGCTTTCTGAAATCGGCTGACATTACATCAACGGTTCGTAATGTCATTCAATGATTGTTTCGCCCTACCACCATGTCCTGTTTTTAAGAGGCGACCCAAGCTACTGCTTGGAAAAGAGTACTATCTGTCCGATCTATCTATTGTTTGAAGGTCCTGATTGGGTTAAAGCCATGTGTTCATTTACCCAAAATGGGTGCAAGGACAACCTGCCGTGTTTTTAAATCAGATAACATGCTTCTGTTATATTTTAAGCTCATATTTACTACAACACATCATTTCCAGTTGTTCGGTGGCAGGATTGAAAAAACAGATGTGAACCTTTTCCTTCATTGTTCCTTCACGCCTTCTCAAAGTTCTCCATCTTGTGACCCACAACAGGTACCGGTCTCCAGGTCAAAGCGGAAGGTCGACCAGTCCAAAACCAGCTGTCTTCTGCACCTCCATGCAGACTACCGCTTTTACAAACGCTTTGGAAGTGTTGAAGCTGTTGTGGCTCAGGTGAGTTCCCATAGTGCTCAAAAGATTCATTTAACTTTGATTTAAAGTCTACATGGTGATAAGCACAATATTTTTCCTGTTGACTCTAAAGTTTTTGCCCCCCTTCGGTACCCAATCTCCCCGAAGTGGGATTCACAGCATGTTCCTTTCCTCAATCCCATTGGAGACTTCTGCGAAATTGTGGGGTTGTGTCACCAATGGACCAAAGCCAAGTTCTTTACTATGGCTGCTGTGAAAAACAAAGGTCTTGAAGCTGCATTGGTGGAACGTAATGTTATGTAACGTTTGTATGCTGAAGATAAAAGACAGGATTTCCACAAGTTAAAGTAACCATTTGTTATCTTTTATCTGACGAGTTTTCCAGATTGCTGTGTTCTGGGGCCTGGGACGCCCGCTTTATGCCTGAGGTCACTGAGCTTTTACTTTGGGGGTAGTTCCCATTGTCTGCATTTTATTTTTGAAGGTTACGCAATGTTTTTGTTTTTACTGTCCGCAGCTGGTTATTTTTATTGTTTTACCAAATCACTGCATGTACAATATTCCTGAAAAGCAATGTTTCTGCCAAAAGAATAACTGAAAAACACCCTTTAAATGATAATGCCTCTTTGGAACTTTTATTTTGTAGCTTTTTTATTTATTTAACTGGTTTGTGAGCTGGGCAAAACTGTTGCATGTCTTTTGGGTTTTGCTCCATATGTTTGTGCCCAGCAAGAATGATTAGTACTTAGGAGAAAAAAGTACACTACCGTTCAAAAGTTTGGGATTGGTAAGATTTGAAAAATGTTTTTGAAAGAAGTTTCTTATGCTCACCAAGGCTGCATTTACACTGAACAAAATTATAAATGCAACACTTTTGTTTTTGCCCCCATTTTTCATGAGCTGAACTCAAAGATCTAAGACTTTTTCTATGTACACAAAAGGCCTATTTCTCTCAAATATTGTTCACAAATCTGTCTAAATCTGTATTAGTGAGCACTTCTCCTTTGCCGAGATAATCCATCCACCTCACAGGTGTGGCATATCAAGATGCTGATTAGACAGCATGATTATTGCACAGGTGTGCCTTAGCCTGGCCACAATAAAAGGCCACTCTAAAAAGTACGAGAAAAACGACATTCCCCCCGGACCCCCCCCCCCCAATACAGTAAAACTGCACATTTTAGAGTGGCCTTTTATTGTGGCCAGCCTAAGGCACACCTGTACAATAATCATGCTGTCTATATACAGTATATACAGTATATATATATATATATTATAAATACATTAAAGCTGCAGTCCCTAGCTTTTTTTGGGTTAAAAATGATCCAAAATACATATTTGAGAAAATACATAACCAGCCAGTGTTTAAAACTATCTGCTTGCCTTAGCTCGATTCAAAGCAGTAAGCTTGTAATAATGTTTTTAATTCCAGTGGTACTGGTGGATTTCCGCGGGAGATTCGAGCATGTCTTTGCGTCATTACGTCACATCTGTACACATAAAGAAGGAGTCTCGGCTAGTAGGCTATATTGCGTGTGAGGATGTTGTAGGTGGAGATTTATAGCCTTTTCTCACAGCACTTGATATAATTAAACTTATCAATTTGATGGCGGATCTAGAAAGTTTCAAACGACAATCACCAGTGACAACAGATTCACCCACTGTAAAATGCAAAAGTCTTCGTTCGGTCTTCGGAGTGGCTACAGAAAAAAAGAGACTGCAACCGGACCCATGCGAAAACAAGGATACATATCGGAAGGACATTACATGTAGTCACGCAATGCTGACGTTGTTAACATTAACAATTTGAGAACAAAGTATAATTTGCACGGTTTTGCGTGATATGATAACTTATAAGCGATTGTTAGATGTAATCAGCGCGATTTACTGCAATGTCAGAACCAGAACAAAGGTGGATGTTTCTTACTAGTTCAGATGTCATATTCCGGTGAAAATTCTTATGTTGGTCATACTTCCAAAAAGAATAATCTGTGATTCTGAATGCCAGTATCCACATCAGCGCGGTGATTGATAGCTGCACAGTCTCCTCAAACACTGTATTCATCCGCGCTGTGCCGTTTCAAGGGTGTTGAAGTACAACTCACGTAGAGTTGATAATTCCGCGCATGACTGCAATTGCAGATTTCGAACAGAGATGGCGACAAAGAGAAAAAACGCCGGACTGCAGCTTTAAATTATTTTATCATTTAAATTGTATATATATATATATATATATATATGCATACATTTAGATAAACTGTAATATATTGAGTTGTGGTTGTTGAGTTGTTGAGAAGTGTTTGTGTAAATGGGTGTAGTACTCAGGCTGGGTGCCATGTGTAACAGTGTTCTTCCACATTACCGTATTCACCCAGTGCTGTGTGCTAATATGTTGATCTTGGCCAAATTGGCCTGCTCATTGTAAGGAACAGCGGCCAGATTGTCACTCATATTCCTCACCAGACTCTTTACCCCAGAGTGGTTTCATTCCCTCAGAGGTGAAATGTGCCTCATTCCACTGACAGTGACTGGGGCAAGAGACTGTCTGGAGAATTCACTGTTGCAACCAAAACTCTTAAGCACAGTGTCTCAATTGATCAAACAATTTGATAAGATGACTGTGGCTAAATTAAGCTGTCGTTCTGTTTACTGGTCTGTCGCTATTTTTGTCTAATAAGGTGTCAGGAGTTGATGATGAAATCAGTTAATCATAAGCATAATGCAACAATATGTTTTCCAGGTCGCCTCCTACATGAAAGCAGTAAACGACATTTATGACAAAGCCGACTTTGACGGCATAGAGCTGGTCAACTTCAAAGTGAAATTCCTCACTGTAAGGTCCTTTTTTGCCCTTTTCACATTTCATTTCAGCCATAAAGTGTTTTTTTACTGTCCTCATGACTTAATTCTTCATCTATGTCAAAGATTTAAAGTCTCGACAGAAAATATGTAAATAACACTGCTTTATTGGACATTTGGATACATATAATATAAAAATACAGTATGTGAGCACGGATTAGGAGAGAAAAAATATGTAAAATGCCGACATTAGGCAGAATGCAAATATGACACATTGATGTCATAAATATAATTATTGGCGAAGTCTTTAGTCAGGGTGGCACCATATTTAATTTTTGACAGGAATCAAAACGAGGCTGTGAGTGACGGAATACAGGGTGTATAGTGAATTCTTGTACTGTTGTTTAACAGCTGACAAAATGTTGTTCTAAAAGACAAAAATGTTTAGTACACAAAAACTCCATGAAACAATATTAAACGTTCTGAGTTGTTAAAAATATCGTAATCTAGGACCTTTATACAGTACGTGCCAATATAAAGACTCTAAGTCTATCCTTCACAGCCTCATTTTCATCCGCATTAAATTTAATATGGCGTCCGACCTGACTAAAGTCTATGCGACATTTAGCAACTTTTCAAGCAGGCTTTAGCTACTTTCCATTGAAAATAGTTGGCAACAGAGGTCTGGATTAACACAAAACTGGTTGATAATTTCAGGTGATCACAGAGGAAGATCCCAGCAGTCCTTTGGGCAAGACTCACATTGGACCTGAGAAGCTGTTGAGTGTGTTTTCTGAGATGGACTGGAGCGACTACTGTCTTTCTTATCTCTTGACTGACAGAGACTTCAGCGGGGTTCTTGGCCTGGCCTGGGAAGGAAAAGCAGGTAATATTTCAGCCCGTCCGCTCTAGACGGGATTGGTAACACAAGCCGCCTCATTGACGCCCACAACAAAGGTCACGTGGAAGAATATTATTACACTCAATGGTGGCCATCTGGGCTTTTATTGCATAGGCCATTGGTATGTGACCTCTATCCACAGTTGTCCTTGACTCGACGTGATATTGAAGTGAAGTTATCTGATAACATCACTCAAACCCTAGACACCCTATTGAAAAATTGCAGACAGTGCGGATGTTGGGGGTTTGGGTGTGGAGTGGTGGTCTTTGGGAAGTACTTCTAGGAAATGTCTAGGACTGTACACGCATGTAAAATTCAGAGAAACAAGCTTCCTGTGAGTTTTTGCGTAATTGCATGTGCGGTTTTGAGAGTTTTATGAGAAACAGGTTGACAGATTTACTTCAAAACTCCCTGGTCAAGTATTTGTTTTCAATGACTCTCGTAATTGTACGAGCAGACACAATTGAATGTGTAGACCAGCATACAGTTGTCTACGTAATTGTACAAGCAGACTTACAGTAAAAAATATGTATATGAAGTACTTCAATTTGAATCCCTTTTAACCAAAGCAAGAACTGTTGGTTCATTGTTTGTAGCACCGCTAAACTGACCTTGTAATTAACATTCTGCTACACAATGAATGCTGCATTTCTCATTAGCCACTTCCTTTACATGACAGGACATTACCTCATCTGTCACTCCCTTTAATCTAGACATTATCAAGATCCTGAATGTCAAAAATGGGCTATCGTCCTGGGCTAAATGGGCTAAATCCTATCGTCAATGTTCAATTAATTCATAAAAGAACAGCATTAATTTCTATAGTTCATACTGGTCTAGCTGTTGAACTAGCTGTCACATGTCTGTCCGGTCTTGTGTTGCACATGGGTGTTTGTTATGTTGAGCCATGTGCTCTCGTCATTGTTTGATCCCTCCCCCTCGTTACCTGATTAGTGTTTGAGTTCTTCCCCCTGTTCCCTCTTGATTTGTTCCCTATTTAAGTATCTTCTTGTTTGCTGTCTTGGTCGGAGCTTTGTCTTATGTTACCTCTGTTCCTTGTGATGGTCTTCGTGTTCTTGGACAGTGTTTGTCATTCTAGTTCAGTTCTGTTTTATGTTTCATTGATTATGTTTTCCCCCTTGTGGGTTTTTGCTTTGTGTTTTTGATTTCATTTGTTAATAAATATCCTTTTACTGCACTTGAGTCCTCTTCTCGACTTTTTGTAAATCGTATCGTGACACTAGCATAACCATGCAGTCAAGCAGTATGGTCTAGCTTGACCATGGAACTCTTGCTGGTTAGTTAAGAAGCCTGCTGGAGACACAAGGGGCCAGTTGCACCAGTTAAGTTACATTTTAGCATAGTTGTGTGACAACAGTTACAACTTACATAATACGAAATATATGCATTGCACCATTTCATTTTTCCACTGGACTTGTATCCCTGTTTAAACAAAATTATTACAGAAGCTGTATGATATATATTTTCATATTTATTTATTACCTCATATACATATTTTTTATTTCTGTTTTCCTGTTAGTTTATTTATTTATTGCCTCATAATTTAGATGATTCTGTTATAGGCCTATATAATTTATTTATTTATTGTGTCTTAATTTTGCATAATTTCATTATATATATATATTTTTTTTACTTAATTTAATTTTCTGCTTTATAGTAGTTTTAATCTCTCTCTTTATTTTACATTTCATAATATTTATTTATTTATTTATTGTTTTTTATAGTATTTATATATTGCCCCTTAATTTAAGTTGATTTTGTATTTATTTATTTTCCCATTTGTTTATTAGTATTTATTTTAGGTATGGTTCCTGAAAATTATTAACTTGTATAAATATACAAATTTTATTTCATGATTATTTATATATTATATTTACGTAAGTGGAAATAATTTATTTTACCCTTGTAAAAAAGTATGAAATATTACCATAACATGATAAACCTGAAATTTACAGCCTTACAACAAAACTTCTTTTGTCCCAGTTCAAGTAAGATCTAACAAACATGTCTGGTGTAACCCAACTGAGAAAACTCATCCCACCAGTCCAGTGTTTCAGTTTTCAGCTCAAGGTATTCACTCATATACCAACACATTCCTTACATTTTGACTCTCAATGGCTCTCAGATCTCTCAGAGTGGAGGCTTTCCACACTCATATGGCTAGAAAACTGAGCAGTCATTGTTTTGATTATTATTGTTGCGGTTGTAGGTGTAGGCCACCAGCTGAGATCCTAGAATCTTGCCATGGGATTGACCACAGCGCCCGCTGTGATTGGCTGAGAAAGGGGGCGTGAATCCACGGCAATGGTGACATGTGACCAGAGAGCTATGCACTCTAGACCTCTACCCCCACCACAAAAAACTTGGATAACCACATTCCTTTTTCCACATTTGTCTCCATGGCAAAGCCCTCACGTGAGGAGATTTCATTAGACACGCATATTAGCATTTAAACACCATGCAAATCCATTATCAAGTTGCGTTCAATTCCATACGGGATGGGCCTCTTGTGTAAACTTGTTAATTCAGTCTTTTTTTGGACAAACTTCACAGCGATGATGACTTTGATGTGACTTCCAGTGACACCCAAACATGTCAGGAAACTCGATAGATGCTAATGCTAACATCTGGAAAATTTAACCAAGACATCTGCAAGTCCTACAACTGTCTTTTGGTCTTGTTTTAACTAGGCTTGTTATCACTAATTTACTCCATGGTGGAGTAGGCTGCAGGGGTTGCTTTCTGTCAATCATACTTGCCCAAGAAAGGTGCATTACTCTACTTCAGCAGCTTGGAATGGAGTCAATGTTTTTGATAGATATGGTGGTGGTTCTTCTAGTATCTTAATGCATTATGACTTGGACCATATCTTAAATGTGTCCTGCCATATTGTTTGTCGTATAAAGTGCTGCAGGGATGACGTTTTTTTTTTTAGGCCAAAACCCAGAAACGAGTTAGCATTTCTGTCCTGAAGTTAATGGATTTTTTTAAAAAATGGGTTTTTGGCTAAATTCCTGAAATAAGGTGTGTGGTTAACAACACAGACTTAAGATATTTCACGTTTTATTCTACAACATAAAATACATCAGTAATACCTCCTTGTGATTGTTTTTAAAGCCTTTACTTGTCTTATATAAGGCGGTTGTTAACAAGTGGCTAATTGGGACTACAGAGGTTGTCAGGGACATTAAACATCTGAACAGGTAAACTCATCTACTCTCTAGTCTGCTTCCACAGCCTCGTTGTGTTTATAATCACACTCTTGCAAACTATTCTAACTCAAAGTTTCAGGGAAAATGTCTTTTAAAAAAGACTGAGAGTTGTCGGAAGCTTAGTTGTGGTGATGCAGTCATGCAGCCCTGGTGTAGTTAATTCATAGTCTACTTTTAGATTTTTACTTCTGGCGATTGTATTTAGGCTTCAAATTTCATGTGTTAATTTGTGAAGATGAACAAAATGTTTAATGGTGTGGTTACATTAGTGAAACTTTATAGGCAAAGTAGGTCCTTTGTCAATAGTGCTGCGATGTGTGAATGCTTACTCAGAGGTCACTTCCAAAACCAAACTGCTTTAAATAGGTAAACGCGGCGAATAAGGCTTTAAGATTTCCAAAATTTTCACCCCACGTGCCCCTCTCACAGAATTGCAGATCGTGTAGATTCCGGTAATGATGACTGCATTTCGCCCGCAGAATTTTACCTCACAAAGGTAAATGTGACCGTACCTTAAGAATCATAAAGTTTTGTTGGCCAAGGGAGCTTATTTTCTGCAATTATCCAAAAGCCAATGGAAAAATCCTATTGGGTTGTTGTCGATGGAACCATGGTGATGCTAACTTCCTATTTGGCATACAAAAATACATAATCACTGCAGCACTCTAATGGCCTGGCACAATAAAGCCTAAAGTCTAGGGTTTAGTCTAGTCCTCATCTAGTCCACTTCTGCATCTCTTTGTGGTTGGTTTGGACTTTTTACTGATTGTTTCGCAGAGTATAACCCTAGATCATGATGGCTTCTCTCAGGTGACTGTGTTGTGGTGCCAATCAACAGCCTTGTGTCCTAAAAACCTTGTGACAAAAATGGCTCCATGCAAGTCCAGTGGAAAAAGAGCCTGGTATAGCATCCTGGTCACCTTACATGTTGTTGAATGAGCTCAAAGTTCTGTAAAGATGCCTGTGAACTTGAGTACACCGGAGTAAACGGTTCACCTTCATTTCATTTGGCCCTGTTCCTAGTCAGTTCGGATGAGTAAGCTCTGCAACCATGCACTGCATTTATATTCCATTGCCTAATTGAATATAGCTCACATAGTTGGTTTAATCTGTTTATCTGGACCACACCATTCTCCTTCTAATAGCACTATAGCTGGATAGACATGGTCTGCAAGACCTTAAAATTTGAATGTGTAGATTATTTCTTATAGCAATAACATATAAAGTTGAATAATACAGACATACAATAATAATAATAATTTATAATAAAACTTATATAATAATACATCCTGTTCTCAGTCAGTTGATTTAGCTGTCATTTGGAATTTTTAGACATTTACATTTGAAAGTTTTATTTTAAAACATTTTAAAACTCCTAGGTTTCTGTTAATTAGAACCAGTGACAAGTGACTCAGCAATTTAAATGAAAACCTATTCCTCATGTGAGAAGTGAGTTGTACATGAGATACAGATGATGACCATAAAGCCTCTATAAGCCCACAGTTCACATAAGTTTTATGTTTAGCCAGTTTATCCAGCCACAATGTATGGTTCTTGTAAATTCCCCCCGACAAGAGAGAAAAATAAAATCCAGCTCCCTGGTTGGGAAACACAAATCTAACAACATCTGAGGAAGTCATTAGCTTGACCTTTGATTTTGCTAGACTAAAAGTTCACAGCCTGGTTTAAAACAATCCAGGACTTGGGACTTTGATGGACCAGCTGATCTTGTCCAACTTCAAGTCTAACCTCTCTTGCCACCCACCAGCAGAGTTTGGTCAGTGATGATGTAATTGGTTAGGGCTGTGCAAAAAAGAACATCTGCTTGTGATCAGCAGTAAAATTGTCTGTTGGCATTATAGAAGCTTGAAACACAGGGGAACTCAATTGAGAAAAGTAAGCAACTCTGCTAGCGGGTTCTTCTCATTCTCTACAGTATGTAAATCATGACAGAAGATATTTTGGCCAACCTAAACCCCACTGACACATCGATTTCCAAGAAACACATAAATGCAGAGTTTGCAGCACTAAAACACAAGCTGAACTCTATAGAACAGTGGCCCTCCTGGAGCAGGACTGGACTTTGCCTCAAGTTAGCATTTTTATGTTTGTGGACTGTAGTTTTTAGTTTGAATCTCATTTCAGATTGTCTTTTCTCTGATTCTCAGATGACTGGGGAGGAATCTGCTCTGAGATGATCGTGAAGGGTGGTCGCAATTCCAGCCATAACACGGGTCTAATCACCCTCCAGAACTACGGCTACTACCTTTCTCCCAAATACGTGCATCTGACCTTTGCCCATGAATTGGGCCATAGCCTTGGAGCCCCTGTGAGTCCTATGTCTGCCTTTTCTGTCACCACCAGCTGGTTGATATCACCGACAAACCTCTATCAGTTTAATTAATAGTTATAATCAATGGGTTTGCAAATCAAATATACAATCTTCATTGGCTTAATTTGTTTTGTTTTGAAAATGCATGCTGCTATGCTGTTGCCAAATACTAGCTTATTTGTGTTAGATTGCAGGCTTTAGCATAGCATGTCACACTATAGAACATGATCGGCATGTTGCATATCTAAATGCCTTTCAGTGATCTTTTCCACCTGTTGCAGCCATGTTCTTCACACTTCCTAGGACTCTTTGGCAGATTAGCTCTGCACTTCCCCGGCTGTCCATGTTCCCTTTACATGTTAAGTCACATTTGACAGCAGAGGGCTGACAAGCATGGCTCATTGTTTCCAGACTGAATTTGGGATGCAGAGCAGATCAGAGGATCCACATCACCTGTGATGTACGGGGAGGCCTGGGAAAGGGGCCAATGGCCTTTGGCCCAGTTGTCTTGTTTCATTCCTGGAGCCACAGAGCTTGTGTGAATGAAAAGCTCAATTTGTATACCTGGAAGTAGTTTTATAACTACTTCATAGCCATGGAAATGTAGATATTTAACTGACAAAAGTAAGACTTTTTTTCCCCAAAATTTTCACTGACCAACTTAAGTGTATTTTGTACAAATAAACAAATTTTGATTTTGATGGCTGCAACACACTCCAAAAAAGTTGGGAAAGAGGCATGTTTACCACTGTGTCACATCACCTTTCCTTTTAATTGCACTTTTTTTAATTGTTTGGGAATTGAGGATTGTCCAATTTCGCCTGATACAAGACAGCTGCTCAACAGTTTGTAGTCATCGTTGTCTGATTCTCCTTTTCATGATGGGCCATATATTTTCAATAGGAGACAGATCTGGACAGCAGGCATATCCATTCTACAGTGTAGAGTGTCTACGAAACCACTCTTTTGTAGCATGTGCCGAATGAAGCCTGGAATTGTCTTGCTTACCAGAGAAGATGTCATCTTGATGGCAGTATATGTCTCTGTACAATCCCAATATACGCCTCCACATCAATGGTACCTTCACACACATATGCAAGGCACCTATACCGTTTGCATTGATGCACCCCCATACCATGACAGATGTTTGCTTTTGCATTTGTCACTGATGAAAGTCTGGATGGTCCTTTTTGTCTTTGGGACTGAGATCTCGAAGTCAGTTTTTCCCCAAAACAAGCTAAAAACATGGATTCATCTTACAACAGCAAATATTTCCACTGTCTTTTAGACCATCTGAGATGAGCTCAGGCCCATGGAACATAAAAGGTTCAAGTTGTATTTCTTGATGCAGCGGCAGACTGTGCTGTAACAACGTTTTACTCCCGAGACTGCTGCTGTAACAACGTTTTACTCCCGTACTCCCGAGCACGTGGCTATATTTTGTCACAGTGTCTGGTTTGTGTTTCCTGGGTAACAACTAGAGGTCCTCTTCCCGCACGGTGTCCCACACTCTGTTACTACATTTCCCATGATCCTGTCTGTCACTGAGTGTTCATTGTGTTCAGCTGTTTCTCGTCACCTCGTTTAGCACTTGTGTATATATACCCTGTTAGTTTCAGTGTTTGTTACGGAGTCCTTGTATTATGTCCCCACACTTCCGGTATTTGTATCTGTCTGGTTCTTGTCTGTATTTCATGTTTTGGATTGCCTTATTGGACTTTTGACCCTTGCCTGGACTGGTTTGTGAGTACGGATTACCCATTAAATATACTGCTTTTGGATCTTACGTTTCCTGTGTGTGTGTATCGTGACAGAAGGACTCCGTCATGAATTGATCCAGCGGTATGGGTTTTCGTGCCTCTTCCCCAGCCACCGCGAGGGAGAGGACGCAGCAGAGGGGGAGTTCGCAATCTGGGGAGGTGCCGCCTCGGATGAATATTTTCGAGTGCTTCGCATTATGGGCTCGCATTACGGAGGAGACCGTGGCGGTAGAATCTCCCGAGCCCCCTTCCATCGAACACGGACGATCGTTTGAGGGAACTCGGTTGGCCAGGCGGAGGGTCCCTCTTCCGGGGCTCCCAGTTCCGGTGGTCCCGAAACGGAGGAGGAGAAGGAAGACTTCCTCCGTGACAGTTCCGGTGGTCCCAGTTCCGGTGGTCCCGAGTCCGGTGGTCCCGAGTCCGGTGGTCCCGAGTCCGGTGGTCCCGAGTCCGGTGGTCCCGAGTCCGGTGGTCCCGGAGGTCGACCCCGTGCAGCCCGCTGTCAGCCCTGAGGTCTTCTCGGAGCTGCCCACCATCAGTCCCGTCACAGCCAAGAGGGCTGTGTTCCTCTTTTATGCAGTGGCGGTACTGCATGCGTGGAGGAGACACAGCACGCCTGCCGAACCAGAGCTTCACGTCAGCTCTGCCAATCCTGCACTTCACGTCAGTCCTGCCATGGCCAGGAAGGCCGTGTTCCTTTTTTATGTAGTGGCAGTTCTGCAGGCATGGAGGAAGCAGAGGAGTTCTGCCGAGCCAGAGACTGTCCACGTCACGTCTGCCCAGCCAAAGAATGTTCAAGTCACGTCTGCCCAGCCAGAGACTGTTCACGTCACGTCTGCCCAGCCAGAGACTCTTCACGTCACGTCTGCCCAGCCAGAGACTGTTCACGTCACGTCTGCCCAGCCAGAGACTGTTCACGTCACGTCTGCCCAGCCAGAGACTGTTCACGTCACGTCTGCCCAGCCAGAGACTGTTCACGTCACGTCTGCCCAGCCAGAGACTGTTCTCGTCACGTCTGCCCAGCCAGAGACTGTTCACGTCACGTCTGCCCAGCCAGAGACTGTTCCTGAGCCGGAGCCAGTGTCTGCTGTTCTTGAGCCGGTGTCTGTTGCTGGTCCTGAGCCGGTGTCTGTTCCTGTGCCGTGGCCGCCCGAAGGGTGGTCTCCGCCGTGCTCGCCTGAGTGGTCGTCTTCGCCCTGGTCGTCTCTACCATGGCCGCCCGAAGGACCTGCCCCATTCAGGCCGCCTGCACAGCCGGATCCGCCCTGGCCGCCCGATGGACTGTCTGCTCCGCTCTGGCCGCCCGAGGGGTTGTCTGCTTTGCCCTGGCCGCCCGATGGGTCGTCTGCTTCGCCCTGGCCGCCCGATGGGTCGTCTGCTTCGCCCTGGCCGCCCGATGGGTCGTTTGCTTCGCCCTGGCCGCCGGCGAAGCTATGTATCACTGTTCCTGTTCCCCTGCATGGACCTGGCCCACCATCCCTCCCCCTGATCCTCCACAGTTCCACCTCCCTCCTGAACTCTTGTGTTGTGTGTTAGTCATGTCTTGGAGCGTCTGGTAGCCGCTCCGTAGAGGGGGGGTAATGTCACAGTGTCTGGTTTGTGTTTCCTGGGTAACAACTAGAGGTCCTCTTCCCGCACGGTGTCCCACACTCTGTTACTACATTTCCCATGATCCTGTCTGTCACTGAGTGTTCATTGTGTTCAGCTGTTTCTCGTCACCTCGTTTAGCACTTGTGTATATATACCCTGTTAGTTTCAGTGTTTGTTACGGAGTCCTTGTATTATGTCCCCACACTTCCGGTATTTGTATCTGTCTGGTTCTTGTCTGTATTTCATGTTTTGGATTGCCTTATTGGACTTTTGACCCTTGCCTGGACTGGTTTGTGAGTACGGATTACCCATTAAATATACTGCTTTTGGATCTTACGTTTCCTGTGTGTGTGTATCGTGACATATTTAACACAGTAGCATGACGGTTTCTCATGCAATGCCATTTTGAGGGCTCAAAGGTCAAACACATTCAACAGAGGTCTCCTGCCTTGTCCCACACAGACTGAGATTTCTCTGGATTCCCTGAATCTTTTAACAATATTATGTATAGTAGGTAATGAACACTTTGCAATCTTTCATTGAGAAATGTGATTTTTTAATAGTTTTACTAAACTGTGCTATTCTCAATATATTTGCTTAATGCTATTAAATGATAATCTCTCATGAAATTTGGCACAAAGTGGTGAACCATGACCCATCTTTGCTTGCGAAGACAAAGTCTTTGGTGGATGCTCATTGTATACCCAAACACGATACAGTCACCTATTACCAATTCACCTGCTAATTGTGGACTGTTTCAAAACAGTTTAACTTGAATATTCTATAGTCTTTTCACTTTTATTCTGCCTCTGTCTCAACTTTTTTTGGATTGTGTTGCAGCCATCAAAATAAAAAATTGTTCATATTTACACAATACAATAAATTTGCCCAGTGAAAACATTGGACATTTTTACTACATTTACTAGTGATGCACTGATCATGATTGTTCATGGCCGATTCTGATTATTTTACAAGCAAATTGGGTAATTCCGGTTGCCGATTTATTTATTGGTTTAAAAAAAATTATCATTAGCAAATTTATTTGTTGTTTATTTGCTCTATAACAGGCGAAACTAGCCTTAAACAAAAATATCTGTAGCCATTTGAAATTCGAGGCAACCACTGCAATTTAAAAAACAGCAGACGGACTGAATGAAAATGCAAATTCACTCTCTGACAGTAGGTGGCGCTTATAGAACGCAGGGTTTCTTTGGGTACCACTATACACAAAGAAGCAGTGCGAATATAAACACTACTTTATACGAAGGTAAGAGGGAAAAAAATGCCATTGACATTTTTCTGAAGCCAGTTCCCTTCAGAGATTCATTCATATAACCACCCATCCCCCATTCCCAATTCAAATATTTATATTTTTCTTCATGTATTTCAATCGGCCAAAATAAAAATAAAAACCATTTATGGCCGGTCAACCGGAGGATCTCCAACGTTTACATTTTACTTTGTGATTTTTCTGTGGCAGCACGATGAGGATTCCGACTGTGGAGGCCTGGAGATCACTGGTGGCAAAGGAAGGTTCTTGATGTTCCCTCAAGCCACCTCCAAGATCGAGGAGAACAGCGACAAGTTCTCCCCTTGCAGCCTGCGGCACACAAGTCACATTCTGAATATCAAGAAGGACAGATGCTTTGTAGGTATGACCCCAGTCTAATTTCTTGGATGGGATAGATATGCTAATGAATGTTAGCTTGTCTCAGTCCTAAATCATTCCTCAGTGAGGCTGATCTCCATGGCTCCATGGCGTGAGGTAAACTGACTGGAGATGTACCTGTTTTACCTTGTCAGTTAGTGAGCAGCCCATTTGTGGAAACCGCATCGTAGAAGAGAATGAGGAGTGCGATGTGGGCCACAATGAAAGCGATCCATGCTGCTACAGCTCGAAGGAACCTTCAGGCGTTGAATGTCGACTGAAGCCCGAAAAACAATGCAGGTTTGCATCAGTCCATTTTGTGTCAAGAGGATGACCTTTGGACTTTTTGGACAAATTAAACTTCTTTACTCTAAGGTCCCAAATAGTGCTGTCAACCCCATCCTTGGTGGTGTAAAGTCACATCAACTGTTAGATAGCAGACCACTGTTAAGACCGCAAGAGAGGGGGCTTTCCAAAAGGATGTATTAATGATGATAGTAAGTTCTGGGGGTGATCGTAAAATCCCTTTTAAATAAAATGACAAATGGTCTCCACCTTACACCAGGAGTGTCCAGTCCTGCTCCTGGAGTTGCCACCTTTTTCGGAAATTTTAGCTCCAATCTCAATTTGACAGCTGAACCAGCTAATCAAGGTCGTCAAGATTATTTAAAACTTCCAAACAGATGAGTTGGAGCAAGTTGGAGTAAACTCTGCAGAAAGGTTGGCCTCCAGGAACTAAGTTGGACATCCCTGCCATCATGTGTTTAGAGGACTACCTTCTTGACAGGTTCAGCTCCAACCCTAGTTAAACATACGTTTACACTACCACCTAATAAAGGTCTTCAGAATTACTCAAAATGTCTTGGCTGGTGTTTTATAGAGGGTTGGCGCTAAACACTTCAGGAAGGTGTCCATCCCGGAGCTTGGTTGGACACCCCTTCCTAAGGGACTTGTGGACTACATGGGAACATACACATAAAGGCTACATCAACAGCACCATTTGGGACAGGCTCTAAGAATGCCTGAACTTATCATAGTTTTTCAGTTCCACAAAACCTACCTTTCTTGAAGTTGATCTTTGGTAAATGTTTAACTTCTATCTATCTCAGTCCTAGCCAGGGTCTGTGCTGCAGCTCCCATTGTGTCTTCAAGGAAGCTGGGCTGATGTGTGAACGACACTCTGAGTGCCGCAACCAAAGTGTATGCTCCGGTTCCTCTGCTATATGTCCAGAACCTGCCGCCAAGCCCGACATGACAATATGCAATGATGACACACGTGTCTGTTTCAACGGAGTACGTCCAACAGGGCCAATATGGATTTTTGTATATCTTTTTAGAATCCGATTTGGATTCAATCGGATTTAAATTCAATCTTTCAAACTTGCTGTCCACAATTTGAAAGTGATAAAATCTTGTCTGTTTCAATTCAGTGTAGTACATATACAGTCTATCTGCATATTTACAATACATTGATATCTGGTTAGACCATTCAGACTGAAACACATCCAGATTTGAATCCAGTTTCAAACCATATATACATGTAGTTTGGATTCCGTTTGTTAACATCAGTTTTCATTCATGCATTTTTTTTTAACTATTCAGAATACAAAAAACAATGTATTTGAGATATTTCACAAACGTCAGAGCATAGCCTTGAGGATGTATGCAATATGTAATTAAAAATACCCCTTTTCTTGGTCCGAAGTCATAAAAATAAAAATATGCATCATATTGTCATAAATAATATCTGTTTGCATGAAGAAGGTTGGATAGGGATTAGGGAATGAAAAGACAAAAGAAATCCAAAAGATTCCTTGGTTGCGAGCTAAACGCATGGAATTATTTAGGCTTAATGAGTGATTCAAATTGGATATATATTTTTGTATATTACCCTATTATACAATGTGAGGTTCTCCATAACCAATGTCTTGTGGCTTGATGTCGCAGGAATGTGGCCTGTCTCTCTGCGCATTGTACGACATGGTGCAATGTGACTGCCCGGGAGAGAACAAGATGGAGAAGTGCCACATGTGCTGCCAGCAGAGAGGTAACCACAATGTTCCGCCACATCAGAACGTGTTTACTGCTTCAAATAAATTAGATGCATAAACAGCTGTTTGTTCTGACATTACTGCTTTATAAAAACGTAAATTAAGCACATATGTTCTTTTATCCGATTTTTAGTTTACTTCCTTGGCATTATTCTTTTTTTTCTTCTCTGTAGATAAACCTAATACCTGCGCAAGCACCACTTCTTCGGTTCTTCTGCACTACTTTAGCGGGAAACGTGTCGCTTTGGTTCCTGGATCACCCTGCTCTGGAAACAGAGGCTACTGCGACAGGTTTAAAGTCTGCCGAATCCTAGATGTGGACGGCCCGATTGCAAGGCTCAAAAATTCTTTCCTCAAATTGGATGAGTTCGATGACCTGGCCGGTTGGATGAAGGTTTGTTGTTAGCATTTGAAACAGTCTAATGTAACATGCTAGCATCTTCAATTGGCTGTTTTTTTGTATTTCCTTCATTTACCTTAACTCAGTTTTCTTTATATAATTTGAAACTTCTCTCTTCTCTTTCGTAGGCACATTGGTGGGCAATTCTTTTGGCTATTCTCGCTATTTCAGGAGTAATGGCTGGGACTATCTGTGTTTTTGGACAGCCCCTTGAGATTGATGATGACCGGTAAACATCTCTCCATCTGGGGCCTTCCAACTGGCAAGAAACCCCTGCAAGCAAGAAAACATTGCTTTTGAGGCAACTTATGAATGTTCAAAACATCTGACTGATCATTGAAGGCTGGCCAGATGCACAGTTGAGAGTCATGCACAGCATCTGTCCAAACATGATTTGAGTTTACACACCATTGGTCTTTAGAAAGTTATTTTAACTCCAGTGCTGATTTGAGCATTGAATATTCTCCAGCTTTCCAACTATAAAGCATTGCTCTCAATAACTTTGTACACAATGTCGCCTACATTTATTTCAGAGAAATTCAAGAACACATTCTAATTTTGTCTCTGCGTATTTGGTTCCTCCAGAAATCACAGGTTGAAAACAATATCAGCAAGGTCAAAAATTTGTGTTTTACAAACTCTTGGGTATGATGAGTGATATCGCGACACCAGTTTGTTTGTGTTGCTGGATTTACTTTCACGATTTTATCTCTTCGTGTTGTCCTTGGGGTGGTTACCATGATAAACACAGAGAACTAAGTGACATTTAAGCTTGTATGGGATAAAAAAGTTCAAAAACTATTTAATAGGAAATGAAATTGAAATTAAATTTGTAAATTAATTTATATGATTATAATGTGCTCTAAGAAATGCAAAAAAGTAAATTAATGTATAAACATTTCAAGTTTAGATCTCAAGATAAAAAGACATACATTCAGCTCAAAGATATATATTTTTTTAATTTTGACACATTTACAGTACAGTTCATTTCATTGATGTACATCACATTATTTTTCATAAAAAAGTATAAAATTTTGTAGCAGTTTGTATGATGTAGTAGACAGATTAAATGTCAGTTGCAGTAGGCCTTTTTTTGAATATTTTTTCCTTATGAATGTCGATTACATATATAAAGTGCAAAAGAGGAATAATTTTACTTCTACCAATAATAAAATGCATTCAACACACAGTAGGTGCTTCATTTGTTTTCATTTCATTATGATTTTTTAGATTAACTTACTGCAGTTGATTTATTTGGACTTTATAAGGTGCCTTCTGGATGTAATTGTTTCTTTTGCTCAAACAACATACTAAACATTCAATATTTCAAGTGATAGTATTAATGCACGTTTAAATTTTCCTCAGTGGAAACATACCATCGAAAAGTTATCCGTGTTTACAGACAATTTAGTCCGAATACCAAAATTATCTTCTAGTTACACTAGTTACATTAGCTAAAGTTTGCGGGTAAAAAGTTTTGTTGTTTATTGTTAAAGGTATAGCGATGTATGAAGTACAGATCACCGAAGTCACTATCAAAACAAGTACCTTTCTGTTTTTTTAAGGCGGTGAATTCACGTGACCAACTTGAACGAAATGCGTGTGGAAATATTTCGCCTCGACGCGACATTCCCAGTCACGTGGATTCCTACTAAAATTGCAGGATTCCGTCCGTGAAAACTCGCCTAAAAACGGTAAATGTGACCTCACCTTTAACATGAAACTTGTATAGTATCATTTATAACAAATCACTTAATTTTTTATACAGAACAGATAGATAAGTAATGTAATGCAAGGTATTCTTGGACAGTGTTGTGGCCAGAAGAATCAGATGATAAAATGAATTAACTAATGACCATTCAAATATAAATCCACTGCTATTCAATGAAATCAATCACATTTCAAGGCTTTTTAAGCCTATTCCATATGATAGTACAAAAGTCCACAATCCATTTGCATGAATCACATTCATAGCAATACATTATTCAATACAGTGCAGTTGCAGTCTTAATAAATAACATCTAAATACATTTGTTGAAGTGCTTCATCACAATCTCTTGCAAATCATTTCATTGGCTCTTCAATTTAGGCCTGTGTTGGAACAAAGAAAATGGCAGTTATTATAATTATTTTAGATTAAAATGTGAGCATATTAATCATAGCCTACGCTATTATCACCTTTTAGATAAAGACCTCCATGGTTCCCTGCATTTCACAAATACAACTTCTTGAACTGAACTTCCTGTTTGGTGATCTTTTAAACACAACACAATTCTAAAAAAAATGAAAGAATGAAAGCTGTTAGATACTTAAAAATATGTGAATATCACTGCGTTAGAGAAAACATCACATCATGTGGCATTTAATGTAAAGAAAGCAAACTTTTCAACCAAAGCATTTCGCAAAATAAAATTTTGTTTGGTTTGAAATTATATTAGTAGATACTAATCAGTAGATACGTTGAAGACATATTGTGACATTTTCTGGTTGTGACATGTTAGTGGTTCATAGTTAATGTGATGAATTTACACCTGGAGTTACTCTGTTAGAACACCTGTGTGAACTTGAGGAAAACTGACTTTCTTGAGACCAATTAATTCAAGTCGTTGAGCAAAAGAGGTTCAGAAATGTGAATTTTAAGTGTAAAATTTAAGGTTCATTATATCTAGCAAGACTGGTAGGAACATACTTTTTTTGTGTCTCCCCAGCTCTGACTCGGACTTTATGGATCTGTACGTCAAAATTTGTGGAATCTCCATACCACCACGAGGAGATCAGAGTGAGTAAAGAGGAAGTGGACTCCTCCCATTTACACTTCAGCATCAGAAGATCTCCAATGTCCTTCTCGGTTATAACGAGGAACGAATGAGTCTTATTGGTGGTGATCTTCTCCTGTCTGCTTGTTGAAATAATTTAAAGATGGTTAGCATTGACATTTGACTGGTGTGAACACAATATAGCCATCTTTAGAAGATATAAGTATTGATTACTCACACATTTAACTTGAGATCTTCTGCTTCACCATTGGTACCGTAAAGTGAGACAGTCAGGACTGGTTCCGTCTCTAATTGATTTATTTTTCCAAGGAAGTTGACTTTCAGCTGATAGTGAAAAACTATGAAATAAACAATGACCAAATGTTGTAGCACCCACAACCAGGGTTATTATTTTTAATTTAAGTGCCCCTAATATGCTATTTTAAAGGTTCCTTTTTTTGTCTTGGAGGACTCCTACAATAGGTTTACATGTAGGTCAGTTCATGCATCCAAGGTCAAAACTCTTTTCTCACAGTGTCTGAAACGGTTCGATAAAGCACGGGGTCTCTCTAAACCCCTCCTTTCCGAGAGCAAACTCTGCTCTGATTGGTCAGACGGCTCTGTCTGTTGTGATTGGTTTACCGCTTACAGCGCATGTCGGAAACAAAACACCAATTACCATATCTGAATTTAAGCACCGGATCTTTTTTAGCGCTTGTATACACAGTAATACGAACTGTAATAATGGCGCCGGTTTTACCGTATCAATTCAAGTGCGAATCCTCGTCCTTTGGAAGTGAATGCAAAGTAGATTTGCTTTTGCAGAGCGTAAAACCACATCTCGACGTGTCAACAACACAAACCAAAATCTTTCAGGTCTCCGCTGAGGGCGGGGCAAAGTAGATGTTGCTCGCAGGCAGCCAATAAAGACCATAGGCTGGCATTATGCAAATGTGTTACAGACCTTACAATGTGTTACAAATGTGTTACAAACCTATGTACATTTGCAGTGTTACAGGTTTGTAACTCATGCTGTTACAAACCTACATAAGTTTGTAACATTTGCAGTGTTACAGGTTTGTAACTCACATGCTGTTACAAAGCTACATAGGGCTGTAACACATTTGCAGTGTTATGGTGTGTTCACACCGAACGCGAATTGAATTATTTGCGCGAGTAGATTACATACAAAGTCAATGCCAAGACGCGAATAGACGCATCATTCACGCCGGGTGTTGCGAATGACGCGAATTGGGCGACGCGTTTGGCAAGAATGTCTTCCGCGCAAGTTGAAAAATTTTAACTCGAGCGAATGTTCAAGCGTCTAACTAGACGCGATAGACGCGTATTTGACGCTCTATTCGCGTTCGCTGTGAACACACCATTACAGGTTTGTAACTTACATCATGTTACAAAGCTACATAGGTTTGTAACACATTTGCAGTGTTACCTGTTTGTAACTCACACCCGGTTACAAACCCGACATAAATTTGTAACACATATGCAGTGTTACAGGTTTGTAACTCACATCCTGTTACAAACCTACATAGGCTTTATTACATAGATTTGTAACACATTTGCACTGGAATTACTGACAACTCGTTTCAGGCAGTTCAGAATCGGTCTTTCTTTTGTGTACTTTGATTTTTTTAAAAAGTTTTTTGCAGACCTTTTACATTCACAAACAGCTTTATTACACTCTACGTGAAAGGTATTATCAGAAAAAGCATAATTGGGGCACTTTAACTAAAACTAAAACCATAAAAAAACCATTCATTACTTGAAATAAACCATTTACTAAAATAAAATATAAACATATTTTGTATTTCAGCTAGTTGCCATCGCAACATTTCTTATTTTCGCTTAGTTTAAGTTGAAGTACTAAAATAACTAAAACTAAATAAACTAAAACTTAATAAAAACTATAGACATTTTTAAAAAAAACAGGAAAAAGGAAACAACAACAACTTTAAAATTAAAATAGAAAACACGAAACTAGAAAATCTTGACACTGACCTCTGAATGGCATGGAGCCTCGTGTCCTGGTGAACATCTTAACGCTTCGTGCCTTGCGGACTTTGCTGACTTTGTAGCCCACAGTGTTGCAGCGGTTCTTGCGACATTGGAGGCACATGCCGCGGTCGAACATGTCATTGCTCCCGCAGCTGTACGCCCTGCTAGCTTCTTCCTCGTTCAGCAGGGAGTCGATGTACAGGTGGATGGACCTCTCGTGCTCGCATCTGATGGCATTATTCATGGCTAAGGGTATTAATGAAACTGATATGATTTTGAACTTTACAGTCACACAAGTAAATATCTTGGTTCTTTGCAGAGATTCCATTGTCGAAAGGTTGCATCAGTTGTAGCAAAGGTTTGTTGTAAATTGTGAAAACAGATTAGAAAGCCAGATTTTGAAAAATGTGATTATGAAACGCTGTCACAACCTCTTGATATATAACTAATCTCTTTCCATCTTTGGGAAAGTTACAAATAACAGTAATTTCTTGAAAATAATTGCCACGATAAATCAGCATTTATTATTACAGGTAATTAAAAATTGTATTCTTAATAAATATATACATATATATTTTTTAAATATTTATAATTTATATTAAATTGTAGTCTTTTACATAATTTGTGTGTGAATATTTTACAAAATAATATTTTATTTTGTGTTATTAGGATTTATGGCCAGCATTAATTATTAATTTGAAATAAGAAAAGATCAATTATTTTAAATAAATTATACTTTATTATGTGAATTTTATTTAAAATTGCATGATATCAATTGTTCTGTTTTTAAGTATTTTTATATAAAAATATACCATATAATTTTTAATATTTAATTTTTAAATACATATATTTTTACATGTCAAATTGCTACAATGCTACAATCAACTTGTCAACAATCAACAATTCAAGAACCAATGGCCCCAAGTGCATGTATGCTTACTCTTTCTATATTTTTCAATCAATTTTGGTGAAATTTTTAGGTAAAAGGTAATGATATATTTAGATATCCCAGATCAAGGTCTTTACCAAGTATTCCATAACTGGCAATTTTCTCCAGAGCTCCTCTCAAATTGCAGCCAGGCTGGAAGCTTCCTCCATTGGGGTATATATCTACATGGCCGACCGGCTGCTTGATACCGATACTGAGACCCAGGGAACCTCGGGTGAATGTGTGGAGGACATCTACAAAATGGGCATCATCTGGGGACAGCCGTCTGTGGGCATGGACCCCTTCAAAGTCCGGCCCAGCAGGGTCAAGACCTGCGAAAACACCAAATTGTTGTCCATATATGGTGCATTTAAGACATATTGTAAGTTTTATTTCCAAAAGAAAGTCAGTGAACCTACCTGTGATTCTTCCAACTTTGTTCGTTGCATGACTTCCTGCAAAACCCGCAACGTGGGCGCCAAGACTGTAGCCAATGAGGTGCAACTTCTCCAGAGGAACGTTGATAGTCTCCTTATGAATCAGGTATGAGCACAATAATACAAATTAGCAGTGCAACTTGCACAACATGAGAATGATTATTTGCCTGATTTGATTTGCTGACACAAACCTCCAGCCAGTCTATGAAGAGTCCGATCTCTTGTCCCACCATCTTAGTGTTTTGTGCTGCCACCGCATAATGGTTCTGTGCCATGTCCAACCAGTCCACGATAATGACATTAGCGGTTTTCTCCCTGTCATAAAGGGCAGCAACCAGTTTCTCAACCCAGCTCTCGAATAGTCCACTTACCTAAAGGGAAAGAGCTAAATTAACACTAACATAATGTGGGATGAGTTGAAAAAGAATCAGAATCAATTGAAAAATTCATTAAATGTATGTAAAAGTGTTGAGGTACCGTCCACCCGTGAATGACTAGAAAGGTTTTCGAAGTGTTGTTGAAGTCACAGATGTTGAGGGTCTCTGGTTTGCCACGTACAATGTAACACACATCGTCATCTGGTTGGGACGGGTTTCTCAGAGAAAACTTGACATTGGCTTTGTTGACATCTGACAGGTCCCTTAGATCCTCCAGGAAATTACCTATGTAATAGCCATTTAGAAAATAAATAGTCAAATAAAAATAAAAATTTAAAGAAATAGGGCTACATCAAAATAGTGAAATATTAAAAAGGTAAAATTAAAAATATAATATATTTTTTTATAATTATAAAAAGTATGTTATAAAAAAGCTATATATAAGTATAAAATGCAAAATATTTAATAATATAATTTAAAATTAAATATATAAAAATAAAAACAAATTATACTTCAAAATGTAATTATATACATTTTTGAATGTGAATAGAAGGCATTAGTAATTGGCAATGTCATTCAAATTGTAATTAAAAAAAAATATATGCTATATAAATCTGACATAAAAATACAATTTTAAATATTTATGCTTCAGATGTAACATACTTAGCATGCTTTATGAAACAGGTCACAAAAGTAGCTACAATACATATTTCCATAGTTGACATACAAGGTGGGTGGAGCCATACTATCTTTACTATACACCATTGTCACACCTTCAATCGATGCGATATCAGATTGCAATGTAAAGATTGCCTATAGTGATAATGAACTTGTCTTGAAACATACTTTCAAGAAATCCTTGCATAGCAGCATAAAACATCAACTAACATCTGGTAGACTCGAAGAAATGTCAAGTAAATGAACCAGCGTCTTCGTATGCTAATTTATGGATTTAAAACCTCAGACAGATGCCGGAAATTAAAAATATCCCATGAAAACACAGGATTAGCGGTAGGATTTGAAAACACAGACATTAAAAACGAAAGAATCGCACCGCGTCCAAATAAAATAACCCCTCAGGTTATCCGAATCCCTTTCTCACGAGCATCAACAAGCATCTCACCAAAGACTCCGTTGGAGAAGTTTTCTTCCTCCAGAGCAGCGACGAACAGACCAGTGAAGCTTAATAATACGAGCCACGAAACGCACTGGAATGAGAAAATGGTCATGTCTTTTCTGCCTAAACTTTGTGCACTTGTGACCTTCACCAATTCCTATCGCGCGCGCAGGCTGCTATACGATATTCGGGAAAAAAAACCCTGAGTCCTGGTGCTGTTTGAAAACCTGACTAATGAAATCCGAGCCTCAGACTTCAGTTAAGCTCCTAAATAGCACTACTAACCAAGAGCACAATTTGTTTCAGCCCACAGGCGGGGGTAATACGGTCACACATTTGCTGTTAGTCATGAGCTGTCGATGTCTCACGAGGTTTCTTTACCATAATAAAACCTGCAGTTGTCACCTTGGACTATCTATCTATCTATCTATCTATCTATCTATCTATCTATCTATCTATCTATCTATCTATCTATCTATCTATCTATCTATCTATCTATCTATCTATCTATCTGAAAATTCATCTTTGCCATCAGAGGAAAAATACATTTAAAAAATATTTCACAATATTTCTATTTTTACTGTATTTTTGATCAAATACATGCAGCCATGGCTAGCATTAGAGACTGCTTTCATAAAAAACAAAATAATATTTGGAATTATTCCAAACAACCAGTAGTGTATCTATTAGCAGGAAAGGGCCAATAAACTACAGTAGTTTGTATATAAGCTTTGGTTTAATAACTAAATGGGTCAGACAGGTTTTAGACAACTTAAAACTGACATTTTGTAGCAACAATCTGTTATGTCATGAATATTGACAATGACATAACAGGTTATGTCAATTTTCATGCAAAATATTACGGAGGAAAGTCAGTAAAGAACAAAGAAACCCTGATACCTTTTACTTAAAATGTTCTCTTTCCTTGTCATTCGAGACAGTAAAGATTTCTAAATCATTATGTGCCAGTACCCTAAATGCTCTTTGCACGCATTGTGTCATACCATAACACTTGGACCCTGCCAAAACTCTCAATGACAACTGCGCTGTGGTCATTCCTTCCGTTTGTAATAAGGACCAGGCTATGTTTGCCTCTATCGTCCAAAATATTCTTCAAGAACAAAACCATAACTAATGACCTGTCACATGCTCTTTAGCAGATGGAAACGGTTCAAGAGATCATTGTCCACCATACAAGAACTCAGAGGAGGTCGAATATGATTTCTCAGAAGAATTCGAGTGTGATAAGCCAAGATCCGTTTAAATCTCCATATCTGAATTTTGTATCCCATGCGTGATACGTTGCCAAAAATTCAAATTCTCAACAGTCTCCTTGCAGAAGGTTCTGACTAATGAAAGAATCGGAATGCTGTATTTTCATTCCAAGAACTCCATTCCATGAAAAGGGGTGGGTGTCTTGAAAAACAAGCTCCTTGTGCTTTGATTCGAGATTACTACACGTGAGTCGCTCTCTCACTGAACAATGTGAGTTATTTGAGTATTTTTACACACACATGGTGTTATTTGAATGGATGACGCTCCATTTACATAACATCTTATAAGAATGGATCTAGCGTAAACAAAACACTGATATGTAGTTTTTACTAGATTAGATTTAATCTTCTAGAGATTGAGGCGTTGCCAAAAAAGTCTAACTTTCCCAGATTTCGGTTGATGCTGTGAAATGAACAGCCAATTTCAGAATCATTTTAATCTGTTTGAGACATACAATATCCAAAACATTCATTTAAAATGAGATTTAGTGTCACTATTACAGTTTTTTTATTCACTTTGGTACTATTTTCACAAGTAAGGTGTACATTTTCAAAACTCAAAATCCAAACTGATCACACTTGTACCACAGCTAGTCATTCTTTCAAAACCTGATCCCTTGCTTTCATTACTATACATATTTCAATCCACATAATCATTGTTTCAAACACATGATTATTGTAATATGTAATGAGAAGATTAGGTTTAATCACAGAAACACAACAGGCTAATCTTCTTTCAGTTTAGTACTTTTAATAATCATTTCATTCAACAGCAAACAATGCAAGATACATGTTTCAAATCACCCTTGTTGCTTAAATAATTACAGTAAGGCTACAGTTGCCACGTTAGAAAATACACAGAAAATACGTTACCTACCTTATGTAATTGAATCCATAATGTTTGTAATAGTATCTATCTAGTGTTATCAAAAGTTGTGATGAAATTATGAAACTGCCATGAGGTTTTGTGGCAATCCAGTACATGTTCTAACTGTGCCATATGACTGAATCTATACTGTATAACCTTTATAAGGGTGAGTTACAGTAATGTGGAAGTCTCATGGTAATCTGTTCACAGTATCACATGGCATACATACTGTAATGTAAAATTTGATGCCATCTGTCTCCCTTCTTCTGATGCATCTTTGATCAATCTGATGTTATACAGTCATTGACTGTTTCCTCTCCCTTACTCTATCCTGCTCTATGTTCACAAATGGCAAATTTCTCTGTCTCTCTCTCTATCTCTCTCGCGCACACACACAAACACACACACATGCAAACACTTTGGACATAGTGGTGGTGGTTATCTATAAATCACTTGTGTAAAAAGAAATAGTGGTGGTTATTATATATAAATCACTTGTGTAAAAAGAATTCATTACATTTGGTTATCCATATCGGAAATTGCAAACAAGTTCTATAGAAACTTTCTATAGAATCAATATCTATTGAACTCTATTGGTGCACCAAATGATTCATTAATTAACCATTAGGTTCAGTTGGATTAAATAATAGACAAATGTATTAAACTGAAAAAGTTTGGTAGTAAGAGCTTTATGAAAAGCAGTTACTGTGAATGAAATATTTAGATGAAACACTTATTTTGTGTTGTGAAAAGGATACTTTGTGATTTTTTGTATTTCTATCAAAAACGTGCTGAATTGTTTTTTAAAAAGTGCACTTTTGATGATCTGTGATATTAGTACTAAGAATTTTCAAAATGGGACACCTGGCTTGTCAAAATACAGTTTTTTTTATTCGCTTTGGTACTATTTTCACAAGTAAGGTGTACATTTTCAAAACTCTTAGTACAAAAATCCAAACTGATCACACTTGTAACACAGCTAGTCATTCTTTCAAAACATGATCCCATGCTTTCATTATAGTTATACATTTTTCAGTCCACATAATCATTGTTTCAAACACAAGATTATTGTAATATGTAATGAGAACGTTTGGTTTAATCACAGAAACACAACAGTATGATCTTCTTTCAATTTAGTACTTTTAACAATTAGTTCATTCAACAGCAAACAATGCAAGATACATGTTTCAAATCACCCTTGTTGCTGAAATAATTACAGTATTACAGGCTACAGTTGCCACATTAGAAAATACACGTGCATTACCTAACTTATGTAATTGAATCCATAATGTTTGTAATAGTATCTGCAGTGAGTTATCAAAAGCTGTGATGAAGTATGACACAGCCATGAGGTTCTGTGCGAGAACAGAGTTTGCTGGCAATACAGTAAATGTGTTCACTCTAGCCTTTGACTGAATCTATATATACTGTAGTGGACCTTTACAGATGAAGGTTGAATTACAGTAATGTGGCAGTCTCTACCATGGTAATCTGTTTACAGTATCACATGGCATACATACTGTAATGTAAAATGCTGTATTTGATGCCATCTGTCTCCCTTCTACTGATGCATCTCTAATCAATCTGTTTTACAGTCATTGACCGTTTCCTCTCCATTATACTCTATTCTGCTTTACAGTGTTTTCACAAATAGCAAATTTCTCTGTACCTCTCTCACACACACATGCGTGTGCACACACTTTGAACATAGTGGTGGTTATTACTGTATCTATAAATCACTTATGTAGTAAAAAGTATTCATTACATTTGGTTATCCATATCGGAAATTGCAAACAAGTTATAGAAACTGTATATACAATTAATATCTATTGAAATCTATAGGTGTACCAAATGATTAATTGATTAACCATTAAGATCAGTTGGATTAAATAATAGACAAATGTATTAAACTGAACAGAAAGAGATGCAAATCAAAAGTTTGATAATAAGAGCTTTATTAAAGGCAGTTACTGTGAATGAAACAGTTATGTAGATGAAACACTTATTTTGTGTTGTGATAAGGATACTTTGTGATTTTGTGAATTGTACTAACACAATTGAAAACATGATGAAATGTTTGAAAAAAGTGCACTTTTGATGATCTGTTGTGATATAAGCACTAAGAGTTTTGAAAATGTACACCTTACTTGTGAAAATAGTACCAAAGCGAATACAAAAAACTGTAATACCAAAGTGAATTAAAAAAAAAAGTACTGTAAAGCATTTCAGCGCAATTTAAAGGGATATTTCATCCACAAATGAAAATTCTGTCATTAATTACTCCCCCACTTGTCGTTCCAAACCCATAAGACTTTCGTTCATTTTCAGAACACATATGAAGATCTTTTAGATGAGATGTATCCAATGAGAGCTACCTCTTTCAAGCCCCAGAAAGGTTGTAAAGACATCATTAAAGTAATCCTCAATTTTATGAAGCGATGCGAGTGCTTTGTTTGTGCAAAAAACACATCATTTACCAAGTTTTATTACAAAATATTAATCTCTGACGCGCGTTTACGCAACAACGTCTACTCTCGCATCAGCAATATTTAAAATTAAGGTTAAGCCACTGGAGTCAGATGGCTTTACTACCTTTCTGGGACTGTGGTAGTTGCGTAGCCTGTCAATGACAGACAGAAAGCTCTCAGATTTCATTAAAAATATCTTAATTTATGTTCCGAAATTGAACAAAAGTCTTGGTTTGGAAGGTTTGGAACGACATGAGGGCGAGTAATTAATGACAGAATTTTCATTTTTCGGTGAACTAACCTTTTAATACAGACATGGCATTTGCACATAAAATAAAGACGGTGACGTTTTAAATGAAAAATATTGAGCTAAGTGCTCACATAGCGTAACATAATGTTTATTAAAATGACATCATACAGTGCACGGCTTATAGATTCATATGATCACAACAGGCGACCAAATACCGATCAGTTCCAGTAACTTCATTCACTCAATGTTTGTTTATAAAAATAGAGTCTACATGACTCAAAAGAAAAGGCAAGAGCACTTCAGAAACATGGAATACATATATTAGGTGCTTAATATACAAATATATACATTCAATAAATAGGAAAAAGGTACATTGTTG